ATCGTACTTCTCGTCGGTCTCAAATAGACGCAACAGTTGATGGTCCCGCGCGTAGAGAAGCAAGTCACGTGGCTTAGGAACGCTACCATCTGTGACAACAACGGCGCCGACTTCGGAAACAGTGGGCAAGTTGTGCGTTCCCGGTTGGGATGGCTTCGCGTGGAGCTTGTACTCAATGTCCATGATGGGTATACCCTTTGCCAAATCCGCTCGCAGCTTCTCCCCGAAGTTTAGGCATTGCTGTGCAAACGGATTACACCGCTTCATGATATCCTCGATGTCCTTCAAAGCCACGTTGTCCAGATCAGCATAAATGCTTTTGCGTCGCTTGGCACGCTCTTGCATAACCGGATCCACGATGTAGATCTGTGCGAACTTGGGCTCAGTTCTCTCGCCTGTAGCGCGGTCCGCGTAAGGCAGCATAGATCCCAGGTAATGATCCATTGCGCCTTGGATACGATACGTGTACACGCCACCTTGCCCTGCGGCCTCCTCGTCTTGGGCAACTTCTCGAAATCGTCTATCGCTGGATAAGGCACCGATGGACGTAAAGGCAAACGCCTGATTGTACGCCCGTACATTGCGGCGGAACTTGTCGTCCCGGTACCACTCCAAGAAGCGCGGAGGTGCTGCACGAAGCGGAGGTAGTCTCACCCTGCCCCGCATGCAGCAAATGAATTCGGACTCGTCCGGCCATTTCCAAGCGTGACACAACCGGCACATCGTCGTGGGAGGTAATTTGTGGCGCCCGTTGACGATGTGTTGTCCCCTAACGTTGGCGATCCTGAAATCTTCATGGTTGGCGTGAGCTCGGCGATGCTGAACTGCTCTGCGTCTAGTGCGGTTCTGCTCACGCAGCGCCTCGAGTTCTGGTTCTGTCAGAGCTTCGCGTCGGGTCCCGGTCGGTAGCTTGCGACACCGCTCGCTCCTCATCCGTCTGCGAGGCACGTATAGCTGCCATACACTCGCGGTTAAGCTCTAGATCTTCCTGCCGCTCTTCTACGGTTTGTTCACTGTGTCGGGCTTGGTGCTGACGACGATTACGTTCCAACTCAATCGATCGATGAGAAGGAGCCTGGCGCGCACGCAGTTTTTGCTTTCGGATACGGTCAGCCTCCCTCGCTGCAGCTCGCTGAGAATCCGTCTTATTAGCCCTTGAAGCGCGCGCGCGTTCTCGGTTTTTAGCTTTTGCACGCTCCTTCTGCGATGTAGTCATGTTAGCTCTACGAACCCTTTGACGTTCGGTCTTTCGGGCTCGATCGGCCGCCATTCTGTCAGCAGAGGAGGGGGTCGACACTGCTGCCTGTGCAGCCTCTGCCTCGGCAACGCGAAGCCCTTCTGCGTATGCAGCCGCAAAACGACGCTGGTGCTCCAGCGCGTCATCCTCCTCCGCCTTGCCTTCCTGCTCCACTGTAGGTTGCTCAACAACCACGGTGCCCGGAGGCATAGGCTTGGGATCACTACTGCCGTCCCCCGCAATGCTGAGAGCTGCAAGTTCTTTCTCCAATCCGCGCTTTACCCGGGACTTCCGTTGCTTACGCTTTCTCCGTTCATCTGGCTCCTCTGTATCATCGGGTGTCTTGTTCACACTTGCATTATGCTCCAGGGCTGCTTTGATTTCAGATCGCGTGCGCTGGCGTTTGGGCCGGCGGGCCATGGCTTACTCACTGCGAACACGAAACAGAGTAACGTGACGCGTTAGACATAAAGTCTAAGTACACTGCACATAGCAGTAGTCTTCCATGCAGCTTGGTTTGGTTGGACATCTGCGTACTGCCCGGGGGGTGCGGCTCCCATCGAAGTTTACTATCTCATGGAACGAAGTAACCGACACGAAACACCGAAGTGAATTCGCTCGCAAACGTGCAGTCGGCAAGTCAGGGTTGAGCGCCCGGGCAGTACTGAGGGTCTTCGTGCGATATCCTTTTGCGCATTCATGAGAATGGCTTGGTCGCATGGGCCAAAGGACCCACTACGGCCAGCTCAACCGGTTCGCGTTCGGGTTTGTTGTCAATAGACTGGTGCCAATATAAATTACCAAAATGTGTCAGATTTTGATAATTTACGTTATGCTACTCACCAGAGTGGCGGTGGGCTTAAAATCTCTGTAAAGGTCCGAATTGTGTAGGACTATAAAAAGTCCTACCCAAATCAGACCAATATTTTCTAAAAACCTCTAAGCACGGCTTCCGCCTGGCGAGGCAACCCCCGCTAGGATGATACATCCCCCTTAGCAGCCCCAGGAATCTCGGACTATCTGTGCGTGGTGGTGGTGGTGGCTTGTGTGGCTAACTAACATGCATACACGCAGCGTACCTCGTCGGCGTCGTGGCGCGCCGCGCGTCCCAAATTCAAACTGTAGTGTGGTGCACAATAATAATTCTATAAAAAATATGAAAACATTTATTGTAAAAGAAAAATGTTTTTATTGCACCTTTTTACTCTTCTTGCGATGCTTCTTCTTGCGACACCTGCGCAGCCCGTCAGGGATTACTGGAGGGTCCGGCTGGGGCGCTGGATCCATTGTGGTAGCCACCAGTGCCGTACGCTGCTCACGCGGGTCTAGCGCAGGCTCAGGCGCTGGGGCGGTGGCGGGGTGCCAGCGGGAGCACGCTCGGGGGCCATTGGCGCACGCAACGCAACGCTGCGAACACGCCCTGGCCTTAGGATTAACAAATGCATCCCAGGCGAGTAGCGCCTTACAGCACGTGCACTTCTGAAGCGGCAGTGCGATGCCGTGCACCGTGAGAGGCGGCGGTACCACCCGCGCCGCGCATGGCGAGCAAGTAAAGGGCTCCATGAGAAATAATATCCCTGCACTCACTAAATACACTTTCAGCCAATCAGGGCCGCCTTCGCTGCGCTCGGCAGCCTAGGTACGATTATGAGGACCACCTTATTATGTTGTCACGGGCTTCACACGGACGGACACACTGGACGGTCTCTCTACACCTTTGCCAATCCAAGTTGGCAGTAGTGTAAGGCAAAGCCGAGAGTCCCGTAAATACGAAAAATATTTTTTCAAAAATTTATTTTCGAGGATTAGTACAGACCAATGTGGATTTAGTCCACAGCAAACATCTAAGTTCCATACTCCATGGGCTCGCTACGAATAGCAGCGGCGACAGAGAGCGCACAGTGTCGCGCCATCTTGTTAACAAGGCGCATGTCAATGCAAGGCATGCAGTGCTCCGCGGCTTTCTCGAGCAGTCGCATCCTACGCTCCGTCTTCTGGCCGTGCGGCATGTAGATCATCTCATCGTTGCTCAAGCCCAGATACGCCGTGATGCGAGCTTTTAAAACGCTAAAGCAACCTGCACAATAATACATTGTATCGCCTCAGTACCTCTAAGTATATCGCACCAAAAGATAAGCTAACCGTACCATCGATCGGGTTACACATAGGCGAGTACGGCCCTAGGCGTAGCAACTCCAGATCCGCCCGCTGTTGGACGAGGTCCTCCGTCTGGCAGTGGGCAGGCGCGTTGTCCAGGACGATGACGATGGTCTTGCCGAGAAAGTGGTCGCGGTACACGTCGTGGGCCTTGACCGCGTCGTATACCTCGTCCACAAACTCGGCATTGACCTCCATCTTGATGCTGCCACGACGCGTGGCGTAGTGCACAAGGCCGACTTCGGGGGAAACTGCGCACTGCACCTGTAAGTTAGCCCCCTTAGAGGGAGAGAGCTTGACGATAGCGCGTTGTCCGACAGGAGCGCGGCCTTGCGTCCGCTTACAGTACAGGTTGTAGTTGGTCTCGTCATAATACACGATAAAAGCACCGTTCCGCTCATGCTTCAGCAACGCTTCACCAAACACCCTCCTCTTCTCGATATTTACAGCATTATTGCAGGTCTCGGGCTCTACGCGAACCTATCACAGGGAACATACTTAGTACAGTACATGTAGTAGATGATTAGTATTGCTGCACCTTGCGTGCGCGTGGCCTGTTTCGGTGTTAGACACTTGGAACGAGTATGCTCCTTAGCGCAACATTCGCGAAACACAAACGTTTCTAAAGGGATGTAGTCATTTCTAACGAGCAAGTTGAAGTGCCCCTAGTGAGATCGCGAATACTTGGCTGCACTGCATTCTGCGGTATGGTCTGCTACAGCACACGCAACTCGGCTCACAGTAGAACGTAGAACTGGTTATTGGTGAGCGGAGCTTCATCCTTTTTGCTGGGTATGCTAGCATCTATTTTCATATCGAACACTACATGTCGGAAGTAAGTAACTGATGAGTTGAAGAGGAGTTCAGGGTCAGGAAAGCGAGAACCGTGCTCGCGAATTGCCACCGTAATTGACAAGCATGGTCAGCGGCAACAAGTCTCAGGGATCCGCTGCACTTGGTAATGGCGATGCGGGCACTCAGGCGGACAATAACCCAAGCGGAACACGGGAAGAGAAGATGAAAGTTGTCGTTCGTGTGAGACCTCTTCAAGCGAAGGAGGAGTCGTGGCCAAAGACAGCAGCAGACAACGGGCCCGACACTAGTGTTCCAGCAACGATAACTATCCAGGTAGCGCGAATCCGCGCGGGGGCTTCGTGCTGGGCTAACGGTGTGTGTGGCCGGCCTGCTACGACAGGAAAACGAAGTGATGTGGGAGAAGAATGGTCAGCTAAAGGTTCTCAAGGCCGACGCTGTATTTGCCAACGGAGCGACGCAAGATAGCGTGTATCATAGCGTGGCTGGTGCGTGTGGCGTGCGTTTGCGGGGGGTATACCAGAGCAGTAATTTTTACTCTGTGCTCTGGCGATGGTAGAATGCGTAGATGCTCTAATTACTGGCTTCGACTGCAGCGTATTTGCGTAGTAAGTTGTGTATGTGTGCCACTATCGTCATGTTCCTTTTCCCGTCTAATGCTGTATGAGCATCGTTGCGGATGTAGTGGTCAAACCGGAACGGGGAAAACGCACAGTGAGTCATACTTACTGTTTGGAAGTGGTATAGCTGTTGATATTTGGGGCTCACGCCAATCCAACTGCGTGAGCCAGCAATGAGCGGGCTTCAGCGCGATGAGGCCACGGATAATGACGTACTAGGCCCCACTCCAGCGAACCATGGAGTCGTCCCAAGGAGCATTAAGAGATTGTTTGCTGAGATCGAACGTGAAAAACGAGGAGCTGCAGGGGCTTCGTTCAGCGTCTATTGCTCGTTTATCGAGGTGGGGTGACGTGGTCTGAAGTACATTCAATCGTGGCTGCCTTTCAAGTAACGAACGAGCTCTCTTGCATATGACAGATATACAACGAGAAGATCTATGATATCCTCTCCCCAGACGCGCCAGCCAACGGCAATCAATCTCCAGATGCCAAGGCCACCGCAGCTACCAATGGATCGTTAACGCAGCGTGCTCGATGGAATAGCACAGTTAGTGCAAAGGAAGCAAAAAGCCTCCAAATCCGACAAAAGCTAGATGGATCGGTGTTTGTTGACGGTATGACGTCGCGCAGCGTGAGCAACGATGCTGAATTGCTTCAGGCATTTCGCGAGGTAAGGATTGACATGTAAACTATTCGTAGCCAAACAGATTATGACGCTGTGCTTGGACCCAGGGCTCACTGCATCGAGAAGTTCGAGACAACTTCTACAACCAGTTTAGCAGCCGTGGACACGCGGTATTCCAGATTACACTACGCAGAAGTCTCGCAAACAATGAGTCCAACAAACCAAACTCCAAGAAGACGCGTCTTTCGAGGCTCTTTTTCGTCGATCTAGCGTAAGCGTTTGTATTCAGAGAAACTCAGTGGGGTGCTAGTACAACACTGACCAACGCGAATTGTTTGTATGCAGAGGATCCGAAAAGTGGCACGTGAACGGGAGTGATCTTACGGACAAATACGCGAGCGAGCTATCGTCAATTAACAAAAGTCTGTCGGCGTTGACAAACTGCGTGATGGCTCTGACTCAGAAAGAACGCTCACACGTTCCATTCCGAGACTCCGTTTTAACACGCTTACTCCAATCATGTCTGCAAGGCTCAGGGCGAACAGCATTCATCGTAACGATCAGCCCCTCAAAGGGGAGTCTGGAGGAGTCTTTTGCTACCTTACGGTTCGCTGAACGTCTGAAAGCTATCCGGTGTCGGCCCATTCGGCGGAGCTTGTTCAGCAACGAGATGCTTGGCGAGCAGCGACTGTACTACGAACGACAAATCCAAGCTATGCGTGTAGGTGCTCCGCATGATCTGTGCTTGTGTTCCATTGCGTGATAATTCTATCTGCTTCCCAGGCCGAGGTCAATCGCCTTCGAGAGCTACTGAGAAAGGCAAATCAGAGGCCCAATGAAGCAGCAGGGAGCTCATCCAATGACGCCAATGCTGCACTCGTCGAGGAAAATCGACGTTTGAAGGAGTTGTTACTGCAGTCCGAACGTTCACGTATTTCTGAAAGGTACGATATGTCGCGATATCTCGCTCGCATTTGGTTATCCGTGAACATGTTTCACCAATTTTTTCATCGCAGGAACGAACGTATTAGCAACAAAGGCGGAAAAATGAGTAGTGGAAGTGTCGTGAGAATGTCACCGCAACAGTTTTCTGCGAGGCAGATGCTGAAGCCCACGTCGACGCAGGGAGCGGAGTCGACAATCAGTTCAAGTGCGCGAAATCTCCGGCAAGATTCGCCGTCGCATCACTCGATCGAGGAGCCGATTGAACGGACAACTAACAGATCGAACAGAGCGAATGATCAGCCGAGAGACCAACTTACTACCCTTGAAAATCAGCTTCAGTCGAAGGAGGCGCGTTTAAACTGGATGCTTGAGGCGGTACGTGTAGCGGCGGCAAGCGCGCGATCTAGTCCAATACTAACATTGTCTACCATGCACAGGAGATGGAGGCGCAAAACGCGGGTACTGGCGCACCCGGTGCGACTGATGCAGCATCAACAGATCCCAATCGTACGTGAATTTCTGAGCATTTAGGTTGCTGTTTTGCTCAATATCTATCGTTATGTGCTGTAGGGCGACCAACAGTGACAAGGTCATGGGCTGTGGAAACGAGACTTCGTCGACAGCTTGTCGGAATTCCACCACCATTGAGGGAGACACAACCCGATCCTGGAAGTGGGTCAAGTGGCGAGGGAGGCACTTTAGTGAGTGCAACAACCAGCCAGCGCAACATTGTGCCGATGAAACGTGTCCTACCTGTACTTACAGAGAAGGCATCAACTCCACCACCAGCTACAGACCAATCTGCATCGCAACCTACAGCACGGAACCCTATCAGACGCCAAGCTCCGTCGCCTCCGACCGAGACACTCAACCAAACGGACAATTCAAGTACTGGCAGTAGGCGAAGTCGAGCCGATGCGTTTGCTAAATCACACCAAGCTGGTCGCTCAGAGTCCACAACCCAACCAGACCAAGTAAAAGCTGCGTCGATTTTGAAACTGGTTGGGTCCGGCGCGAGTGAGGTATCCGGGAAATCTCGGGAGGAGCTCATCGAAGAATACAAACGTGCGCGCCGGGTCGAGCTGGAAGCGATGATGCGAACAATGGTACAAAAGTGAAGTCAAACATCAACTCAAGATGAAAACCTGCGGTCGTGTTGGCTGCCGAGTGTATCTATGTAGTCTGATTCAGTCCCTGGTGGCACGGCAGCTTTGCACCTCTTGCTGCCTAGCTCGACACATCCACGATCGCAGGGAAGGGCTGGGTCTTGCTGACGACGAGGATCTTCTTCGTGTGCGACATATATCCCTTGATGTAGCCTTTGAAGATAAGGTTCGTCAGTACGCACTCGATCTCATCCATGTCCATGGACTGCCCCGTGGCGACGTGGAGTGCTAGCTGGAAGTCCTGCATGTGCAGTTGGTGGTTCTGCTGGATCAGATACCTGTCAAGGTAAAGGGAGTCACAACACAAATGAACTGTGAATAACATCATCAAGCGCATCTTCCAGGTACAGTGGTCACGTACACTTTCTTGAACAGGTTTCGCAGAACTAGGAGGCGGAGCTTCTCAATCAATAAATACACGCCCTGCTGGATGAACTTGTCCTGGTACTGGGCCAGATACTCCGTGAAGAGGTGCAGATTGCCATCGCGGATGGCGTCCGTGAGACCTGTGTACTCTTCCAGCGCGTAGTCAGTCAGGAGCTTCGGGGACGGCATCACGCCCAGCAACAGCTTCACCGGCACGAGGAACTGCAGGATCATGCGTTTGTTGCGCGCCTTGCCACGGTGGCAGTGCTTCCACGCGTAGTCGAGGCACGTCTCAGCCTTCTGGTACTGGTCCTCGAACATGGAGATGCGTCCCACATAGTACTGGTACGTGACCTTGTCACTCTTGTTGAAGCGCTCAAACTTAGGGAAGGCCGGGCCCTCCACCGCTCGAATAAGGTTGCGGCACAGGTGGATCATGTTGAGCTTGAAGTAGATCTTGAAGAGCTGGTTCACAATGAACAGCGCGCCCATTTTCTTGTTGTGCTCGGGCGGGGCTCGGTCGTTGGCTGCCATGGCGAAACCCTTCTTTAAGTGCTGCTCGGCACTGCGCAGGCTGTCGTGGATCTCGTCTCCAGCCTTCTGCGAGGCCTCGTGGTCCGCCTAAGAGAACCATAACGTTCATCAGCCTCGTGCGCTCAATAATTCGCAGCTATATCCACCCACTCACCCTCGTGGCCAGCAGCCGCGTGTCCACGAACAGCACGTGCAGGAAGGGCATGACCCAGTTGGTCTCCTCCCTGAACACCTCCATGAACTTGCTGCAACCAACAATGGCACAATGACACAATGACACAATGACACACACACCACCACGTCAGCATCCTGCCCTGTTTCGCCCTAGGGTCGGCCGAGTCCTGCTACGTACATGACGGCGCCGATCTGCGCGCTGTAGGCGTGGGCGAAGCGCTGCTCGTCCAGGTGTTTGCGCGCCTGCATGATGCCCGCCACCACTTCGGCGTACGCGTCGAAGCGCGCCAGCTTGCTGTGGCACGTCTGCGCCACCTGCTGCGCCGAGAGCGCGCGCAGGTCCGCGTCGGCGCAGCCTCCCGTCAGAGTCAACAGCTGCGCCAGGGAGGCGCCATCCTGGCCGGCGATGGCCGCCCCCACCCGATCCACGAAGGCCGCGAGCTGCATCCGATAGAGCAGAGCAGAGTGTAAATGCCCTATTTCCAGGAGGTCAGAAAAAAGTTCCAGATCCAGGCTCCAGGAAATAGTTCCAGGAGATACTTCGCACACGTAGCAGCTCGGCTCATTCTGGAAATCGCACTGACGCTAGACGATCGCCATGGACGCTGCCGCTAGCAAGCGCCGCGTGCCTGCCGACGCGGAGGTGAACGCTGCAGAGGGTGGACGCGCCGCTCCCCCTCGCGCTCGAGGTGCTGCGCGCCGCCCCGCCGCCGCGTCCGGCTCGTGGTTTGGCGCGCCGCTCGTGTACGCCGTCGTGACGTTCTTCAGCCTCATGATCCTCGTGCACGTGTGGCAGTTCTCGAGCTCGCAGATGCACCCGGTGCTCTCCACGCCCTTCCACAACAAGACGATGGTGCAGTTCACCACCAAGTTCGGCACCTTCACCGTGGACCTGTACCCGGAGCACGCGCCCAAGACCGTGGAGGCCTTCAAGAAGCTCGTGGACGGCGGCTTCTACACGAAGGACGCCGGCTTCTACTACAACGAGCCCAAGTTCGTGCTGCAGGGGGGAGGCTTCCTCTTCGGCAAGGAGTCGCCCATCGGCAACCTGCCCGTCGAGTACAGCGCGCCCAGCACGGAGAGGATGGTGGTCATCGCGCGCAGCCACAAGTCGGACTCGGGCAACACCGAGTTCGCCATCATGCTGCACGACAACACCGAGAGGAACCAGCCGAGCGAGGACGGACCGGGATACACAACGTTCGGGCGAGTGGTGGAAGGCTGGCACACGATCGAATTCATCTCCAAGAAGATGTCGTCCGGCTTCATGGCCAAGGAGGACCGCGATCGCCAGATTGGTTTCGAGAAGGTCGAGTTCGTCGAGAGATTGTCGAACGACAACTACGACGCCAAGATGCGTCTTGAAGAACTGACGTACGTGCTGGAGACGCCGCACAGCGTCGTTGTTATCTCCGAGAAGGACTGCCCCGAGAAGAAGGAGGTGCAGAAGATGCTTCACAAGTACCGCACGACGGTGCGTACCAAGGAGATTGGCTTCTCCAACCACATTCCGTACGAGCTGGAGGCGGTGGAGGCGCTCACGGGCCGCAAGTCGCTCCCGCTTGTGTTCATCAAGGGCAAGTACGTCGGCGGCCTGCGTGAAGTGCAGAAGCTGCAGCAGACTGGAACGCTCCGCACGATGTTGGAGAAGAGCGGCACGCTCGCCGAAGACATCGTATGGTCAGCCATCAACCAGAACGGGCTGGTTCTGTTTAGCAAGTCGTACTGCCCGTATTGCAAGAAGACCAAGGAGACACTGGCGGGACTTGGCGCCAAGCCCCTTGTGTTCGAGCTGGACACTCGCGAGGACGGCGCTGCCATCCAGGCTTTCCTGTTCCGATTGACGCGCCAATCCACCGTGCCCAATCTCTTCATCAAGGGCAAGAGCGTCGGTGGAAACGACAACGTGCAGGAATTGCTGCGATCTGGCGAGCTGGTTGACCGGCTCAAGAAGGCTCATGCCATCGACTAATTTGCCAACATCGTCGTGAATGCAGATCAGCGAAGGAAGGGAATACTACCCAACAAAATAAACTGATCCTTTTGCTACGGTCGAGTGTCTAAAAGAAAAGCGTGGTCATGCCTCATACATGCAGTTCATTGTCATACCGCTTATACTAAAGAGATGCGCTCCCAGCAAGAATGTTCAAGTGTGCAGGTGGCTGTGGTCGTAGAACTGTTTGGTGCTGGCTCCCTTCGGGTTCGGGCGATTTCCAGACACGTCGTCGGCTCCGAGTCCAATAGACTCAGACGTCAACATGAACGGTCCGTTGTTGCGTTTGTACTGCGAATTGCCGATGCGCATCGTGTAGAACGTGTCTCGGTGTGACTTCTGGTTGAACTCGGTATTCTGCGAGCGCCCGATGTCGTAGAGGTGCTTGGTCTCCTGAAGACCTTCAGGGAAGTGGTGATTCTGGTTCAGCGAGTCGAGCGCATCGAACATGCCCGGCGGGTCGTTCTGTTTCTGCTTATCTAGAATCTTCATCTCCGTGTGCAGCGTCTCGCGGTACTGCTCCGTGCGAACATGGCTCATAAACTCGTCTCGCCGGCTCGCGTCCTTCGAGCCGAAGCCAGACTTTCGCAAGTCCATCGGCTGCGACTTCAGGTACGCCGTGTTGTCCTGCAACGGATCGGACGAGTACGTCTTCTTCTCGAAGTACCCCGAGCCATTGCACGTGTTCTTGGCTGGCACAGTGAGAATCTGCTTGCCCTTGTGGCGCGAGTTCTTGCCTAAAAACGAAAGAAACAGTAATATTTAGGTGAGATTCCCGACATTCACTGGCTACGTTTAGTCATTGGTCTTACCTTCAATGAGGTGCGGGTCTCGGTAGGGATCACCGATGGTCAAGTAGCTCTGGGCAATGTTTTTGTTGAGCACCTTGGTCGAGTACATGATTCAAGTTGCTTCCGCCGGGTAGATTCTACTGTACAATGCTGAAAACCAACTGCAATTGCCAACAGCGCGTGGAAAAATGCCAACCCCACGCCGTTGGCGAATATGACCGGTGCATGCTTCCAGCAGGGTCAGGTGGTGAAGCTCTTTCATAAGAACTCCTAGCAGCTCCGATATATTCTTGGTAAACCAATGATGGTTGGATTCCAGCACCAAAAATAATGGGAGGTCCGGTTGAACTCATCTCTTCCAACCTACCTCACCACCTTGCTCAGCATTATGAACGAGAGTTTCATTATCGGTCTTCGAAACCTAGGAACGCTTATCCCTGAACTTCCACCTCCCCCCTGGCCTTGGAGCTCACAGTGAAAGGGAAGCCTGTCGCCCAATTGAAACTTACAGCCACTTGCTGCGCATATCGTGCACGACCGCCTGAACCTGTGGCGTCTCCGGCGTGAACTGGGCGATGGCATCGATCTTGGCTCGGATCGCTGGAGTGATCTGGTCGGCGAACTCCAGAGCCTTGAGGTTCTCGTCCAGTTGCTCGATTCGCGAAGCACCAAGCAACACCGTCGATACGTTCTCGTTCGAGACGCTCCAGGCGATTGCTAGCTGGGGTAGGGTACAGCCCACTTCCTTGGCCACTTCAGCGAGCTGCAGGGCCTTCGCGGTCTTCTCCTCGAGGCCATTCTCGATCATCTTTGTGAACGCTTGGATGATGATGCGAGATCCCTTGGGGGTGCCATTGCTGTACTTACCGGTCAGCACACCACCGGCCAACGCGTAGAAGGCGGTGACTCCGTAGTTGTATTTCTTGTTCAAGTTCACGAAGTCGTAGTCCACGCGAGAGCGGTCCAGGATGTTGTAGCGGGTCTGGTCGAAGGCCTGCAAACACCGCAACAGGTCAACGTTAGTATGGAAAAGTTCTCGATATTCTGTACGAAATGAATTGTACACCATACCGGACGAATGAGGCCGAGGCGGTCAGCCACCTCGCAAGCCTCCATGATCTCCGCAGCCGTCCACTCGCTCGTCCCCCAGTAGAACGCCCACCCCTGCTCGATGACGTAGTTCATCGCACGAACAATCTCTTCCATAGGAGTGTACGGGTCTTGACGGTGGCAGAAGATCAGGTCCACGTACTGCAATCCGAAGCGCTTGAGCGACGCCTTCGTGCCCTCGACAACGTGCTTACGGCTCAGCCCCGTGTCGTTCGGGCCACCGCCACCGGAGAACATCTTCGCACCGAAGAAAATCTTGGTGCTGATGACCAGATCCTCTCGAGTCCAGACGCCCCGTTCAACGCCCGTTGCAATGATCTTGCCCATGCAAACTTCGGACTCCCCGTCGGCGTAAGCCTCGGCGTTGTCGAAGAAGTTGATGCCGTTCTTGAAAGCGTGCTCCATGATGGCGTACGTTTTCTCGAAGTCATTTTGCGTGTTGAAGGTGACGAAGCTTCCGAACGAGAGTTGGGAGACCAGCAGCCCCGTGTTGCCCAGGAAGCGGTACTTCATGTTGTGAGCGGATTTTCGGACAGCACTCATCGTGGGCTTGGAAGAACTGGTTGAAGTATGAGTGGCTTGTTCAGAACGAGGCAAATGAAAGAATGAATGACAACGGCACTCGAAAGCAAGGCCTCCGCCCCTATTGACAGGTGTCCGAAAGATTATCCATTCCAGACGATTATGAACGTCGCGCGCAGTGCCACAACAGACGCAATAATGATGCACCACAACTACCTACATAATCTATATGATGCAGGGCAAGCAATGGTGCTCGCCGTTGATAACTTATCAATGATAAGTTGTCAAGCATCATTGCGATCTTCTGCTTCAGCTTCAACGGCCTATCATTTAGCCTGGATATCCCAGACCACGGTCCGGAGATCATCACCACAGCTTTGGTCTAAGATACTGTATCCGAGCATGTCAACCTCCTCCTCCACCGCCGCCACCTCTGGGGGTAACAACATGATGTATCGTTTCCTGGGTAACACGGGACTGCTGGTCTCGCAACTCTCGTTCGGCAGCTTCGTCACCTTCAACACGCAGTTGGATTTCGAGAAATCGTACTCCGTCATGGAGCGGGCTTTCAAGCGAGGCGTCAACTTCTTCGACACGGCCGAGGCGTACGCTGGGGGACATTCAGAGGAATTCATGGGGAAGATCATTGCAACGGGCGTTGAACGGGGCGTCTGGACTCGAGAGGATCTGGTCGTGAGCACGAAAATCTTCTTCGGCACCAAGCACGGCGGTGACCAGAAGGCCGGGCCCAATGAGCAGGGGCTGAGTCGCAAGCATGTCGTGGAAGGCACCAAGGCCTCGCTGAAGCGCCTGGGACTCGAATACGTCGACACCATTTTCTGCCACCGACCCGACCCGTGCACGCCAATCGAGGAGACCGTGCGAGCAATGAACTACGTGATCAAGCGGGGGTGGGCGTTCTACTGGGGAACAAGCGAATGGAGTGCGCACGATGTCATCGAGGCGTGCGAAATCGCCGACCGTCTTGGCCTCGTTCGTCCGGTAAGCTGAAATGTTGTTAGTTGTGATGACAAGTGCGTTGGTTTTGTCGCTAATGTTCATTTTCGAGTCGCTGCTCTCCAGGCCTTCGATCAACCGCAGTATCACATTCTGGAGCGCTCGCGTGTCGAGCTCGACTACGAAGTTCTGCACAAGGCAAGTGTATTGTATGTACTCCCTACTGGTCGTCAATGCTTCCACTGATCAAGTTATTTCTCTGCAGACATACGGCTATGGGCTTACGACGTGGTCCCCTCTCGCATTCGGGGTCTTGACTGGCAAATACAGCAAAGGAATTCCCGAGGTGAGTGCATCTTGATTGAATTCCTGACCATGCATGCAGTCTCACACGTACACTGGCATTGGTCATTTGACTGCAGGGCTCTCGCCTGTCGATGTCATCTTACATGAACTACGTGGCCGACAGCTTCGAGGAGAGAGTCGCAAAGGCAGACAAGCTTGCCGCAATCGCCCAAGAGATCGGCTGCACACTCGCTCAACTCGCCATCGCGTGGTGCGTCTCCAACGAGAGGGTTTCGACAGTCATCCTGGGCGCCTCCAGCGTGGCGCAGCTCGACGAAAACCTGGACGCTCTCAACTTCGTTAACAAGCTGACGCCCGAGGTCCGAGCCAAGATCGACGTGGTCGCCAATGTGAGTCTCCGAATCCCGCCTCCCGAGGCCAGATTGCTCGCCATGCGGACGCAGTGGCTGTAGCCACATAACCCCTAGGTTCTAAGAACTACAAATGCCATTGACTTGACAACTTGAAGTGGTAAACCTGAAGAATTGCGCTCCCCCGGACTTTTTTTTGCCGCGATCTTTCAGTCATAGAAATTATGTACCCATAGATCATTTCCCGATTGATCAATCAATCAATCAATCCCCGACGATGCCGAATCGCTGGCACCGAAGCAACCGCCCGCAGAAGGCCATCAAGACGCCCGACCGCCTGGGGGACTACTTGGTGGCGCTGCGCAATGACTTCGTGCTCAAGAACTCCGTCTGCCGTCGGGGCCTGAACCTCAACGGCCAACTGAGCGCCTACGAGTCCGAGACGCGGGTGCTGCTCAAGCTGGCGGTGACCGGGCGCGTCGTGAACACCCTGCTGCGCTTCGGCCGCGTGGTGGAGTCGTACATGGAGGTCATGGGGCTTGAGAAGACGCCGGAGGTCACGCAGTGGCGAGAGCAGCTGAGCTCCGAGCGCCAGGAGCGCGTGCACCGGTTCCAGCATATTCTCAGCGACGAGCAGCGCCTGCTCGAGGCCATGGGCGACGAGATGCAGCAGATGGAGCTGCTGACGCTGCTGAAACACGATCTGGTGACGTACCACCACATCCTGACCCCCGACGAGCTGGACGTCATGTCGGACGTGTACAATGAGGTCGTGCGCCACTCGGGGATCGTGCTGGTGGCGGAGCCTCCCAGCTGGTTCTTGTCCCCACACGACCTCCTATGCGAGAGAGGGATCTACTATCTGGATGTGGTTCGAGTGAGCAAGTGTCTGACCGGAGAGGTCTTGCAAACGGGGTCGGGAGATCCGACGACGTGGGAGGAGGAAGAGGAAGCATGTCTGCGCCAGGCAACCGTGTGGGCGGATCTGAACCACCCGCATGTGGCCAAGATGCTCGGAGCGTGTCACATTGGCAAAGAGCCATTTGTCGTGCATGAACCCGCGGAGCCCTTGGTTTCGAACCGTGCAAATGCGCAGTCGTGGGAGCCATTGCTCGGTTGGGCCCTTGGACTTCAGTACCTGCACGAACGAGAGCTCGGATACAAGAACTTCGATGACAGCAGACTCCTAGCTCGCCACCAAGTCACGTCCAGTGGTGTGCTGAGTGGATTGGGACTGGTCCCCGTCAAAAGGAAGACGTCGGCCTCGTTACAGCGTGGTGTTTCCAACATGTTTAGCTTGGCGGCTTTGGCAGCTGCAAATGACGACGATAACCAGCACGAGTTGCACGTGCCAACGTGGAGTGTGCCCAACGACATTTTCGCATTTGGATTGGCCATTTACAACACTCGTCAATGGGTGTCCATGTTCGGGGATGAGAAGGTGCCCGTGTTGCCACAGAAGCGTCCGCAGTTCTTGAGCGAGCGTGAATGGGACTTGGTCGAACGGATGTGTACGAGGGCGCCCGACAGGAGAGCCAGCATGTGGTACGTTGTGCATCAACTGCAGGCGTTTGTCAGAGCCTCAGTGTCTCCATCCGACAAGAAAGCTCCAGTGGATTTGAGTGTGAGTTTGAATTCTGAAGACGACCCAACTGAAGAGCACGAAGCGTATACCCCTCCAAACAATATTGATGCCTTCATCGTACCGAGGATGAACGTGAAAGTAGTGAAGGCAATGCCACACCTGGAGCAAAAGTACAAGGAGGTGCCAGAGACCAACGGAGCAATGCTCCAGGACGTGATTGATCGACTAAAGGGTCTGCGCGCACAGCTGCAATCGCGTGAAAACATCAAGGAGGCCACTACCGTTATGGAAGGATTTGTGGGCGTCTTGGATCTGTTCTACGATCAACTCACGCGGCGTGATCTCGGGAAAGAACAGTCGAGCAGCAGTGTGGTTGCCAGCTTCTGCGCTTCGCGCGCAGCAGCCCAGAACGTCGCTATCTTCCACCATGAAATTGATCGCCTTCTGACACTTGCTGAGCTGCGTGCTACCCCTAGGCCAGCTCCTACTCATGTTGCCCTTGCCGACATCCATGAAGGCTCGTCCGACTCCATTGATGTTGCCGCTGACACTGTCCTCGACACGCAAGACATCCACGATTGGCTGCTCAAGTGGAATAAGGCTCGTCGGGAGCAACTCCGTGCTTTTCAAGCATGCCTCAAGAACGCGGAGGAGTTGAAGCGGCAGCTGAGTGACCCGAAAACCAGGCTGGAAGCGCAGATGCTGCTTCAGTTCGAGCTACAAAAACGTCGAAGCTCCTACCCCAACTCTGTTCTGGAGGCTATGTCGCAGGCGCTCACAGTGCTGGACACGATGGGGAGCAGCGCTGAGGTGGTTCCTAGCTGGTTCATCCCGCCCTACGAGGTGGTGCTGGGTAAGCATATTGCCCAGGGCGGCTTCGGGGACGTGTACTACGGCAAATGGTTCGATACGGAGGTTGTGGTGAAGATCCTCAAGTCACAGGCCCCAGCAAGTCCTTCATCGAAGGCTGGTTCACCCCCAGCAAGCAGCAGCGGGTCGAGTGAAGAAGACGCGATGGAGCTGTTCAGGCGTGAGGCGGATCACTGGTTCATGCTGAACCACCAGAACGTGGTTTACCTCTACGGAGCTTGCCACGTCGGCACCCCATTCTTCGTGTGCGAGCCAGCTAAATCGACCTCGCTGACCTCCCACGTAAAGGAGCTCGCATGTGCTCGACCGGGCTACAATTACGAAGAGAACGGTGGCCACCCGGCTGACATTATGCGGTGTCTGGTTCTGGCGGGGATCGGACTGAAGTATCTGCACGAGCGCGGAATCGTCCACTGCGACCTGAAGGGGAACAACTTCATGGTCGGCACGGACGGCAAGACCATCAAGCTCGGCGACTTTGGCATGAGTGTCCTCAAGCGTTCCGGAAAGGGCCGCCACACCGCTCACGCCAACGCGGGAGCAGTGCCCTGGAAGGCTCCTGAGTACCTCAAGGGCGAAGACCCCACGGTGATGTCGGACGTCTACGGGTTTGGCATGTGCATCCTCGAGCTCATCAGCGGAACCTTCCCGTGGGCTGGGCTGCCCGAGGCTGCGGTTAAGTTCCACGTGACGAAGCGGAAAGCCCTGCCGCCTCGCTCCAAGAAGCTCAACGACCTCCAGTGGAGCCTGATCCAGCACATGTGCTGCTACGAGCCCAGCGAGCGCATCAGTCTCGATGCCGTCGTGGACATGCTGCACACCTTCCGCTTCGAGTAGCAGCAGCTGGTCGCACTTCAACTTGTGCACAGCTGATGTTACGGCAATTCCCGTCAAATTAGCGCATAATTAGGACTCTACGTGACTGTAATTAGGGGTCAATTTGACGTGCGACATCCCTCCCCCTTTTTGCATTAAGCTTACGGCACAATCGCTTCAAGGCCGGCTTCCTCGTCGTCGTATCTGCGTGCGGCCATGGAGTTCCTGGCGGAGGAGAACGACTGCGGCCAGACGCTGCTGCGGCTGGTGAGTCGCGGCAGCGCCATCATCGCCGAGCTGCTGCGTCTGTCCAACAACATCCCGGGGTGCGCGCTGCGCAGTGGATAGTAGGAAGGGGGAGGGCGACTCTGACTCGATGTTTTGTTTTGGCTACAGCGTCTTCATGGGGCCCTCGCACGTGGAGGACCCGGAGCAGCTCAAGTACCTCAACATCCTGTTCGACTTCGCGTACCTGAAAAACCCAGAGGACTTCGAGAACATGGTCAACAGCAACACGGTCGGTCCCTGAACGGGGTTTTATTGGTGTTTTGACTTGGAACTATCGAAGTTAGAGGTCTGACCACGGGGATTTTCTACTGCAGGAGCTGCTGGATGTGGACGACGAGTTCATGGACAACCACGAGGACATTTTGGACCGATTCTACCAGCTTTTCGACGGCATTTACAAGGTCTGCTATGATGCTGGGTGTTACAGAGTGTATTGATCTGACCTGGGTGAGTGTGTCTGTATCATTGCAGTACATTAGCGACTACTTGGAGTTTTTGGACAATCTGGAGAAAGGGTTCTTCATCCAGCACACGCTGGCCAACATTTTGCTGGATACGGACGGTGCGCAGCTCATGTGCGAGGCCCTATACCTCTACGGAGTGATCTTGCTGCTGCTGGACCGCAAAATTCCCGGACCCACGCGAGAGAAGATGGTCATCGCGTTCTACCGAAGCAAGGGCGAATCGGCGCTGGAAAATATTGATGAAGTCTGCAAGCTGTGCCGTGTGACGGGTTATCTACCTGGTCAGCCGAAACCGGCTCAGTACCCTGAGCGGTACTTCAAGCGCTTCCAACCCCCGGAGGAAGTTGTGAGCATGGTAATCGGCAAACTGCAGTCCGATGATGTGTATCTGCAAGAACCGTGCTTCCCGCACCGCACGCATCGGTCTACTCGACTCGCAGCGCAGGCTTCGATGCTGTTTGTGATTCTGTTCTTCGCACCGGATATTCTCATCCACGAGAAGGCGAGTATGCGTGAAATCGTGGACCGCCACTTCAACGACAACTTCATTCTGACCACGTATATGGGAGCTGTGGCTGACCTGTCGTTGGAGTGGGCTGCGTACCCGGCAGCGCGCTTGGCGCTAGCTAACACGCTGGAACCGTCGAACATCGCACACATTACCAAGAAGAAGGCACAGCAGACGCAGCGCTCTATCGATGAACTGAACTACTTCCTTACTGAAGGTGTGCTTACGGAGATGTACGTGCTGGAGAACCTGGACCCACTGCTAAACTGTATCCGTAACGCCAACGTGACGATCCGATGGACAATGATGCACTCTCGAATTCAACCGGTGATCCCCATGATGGAGAACTCCACGGCGCAGCGCGAAATCTTCGATAAAGGCACAGACCCGGATAAACTGATTACTCTGCTGCTCAAGGTTTCACAGCTCGAGTGGAAGCTGAAGCAGATGTTTGAAGCGCTGTTGGCCAGCAAGGAAGATCGGTGGCAGCGCTGCATGAAGGAAACTTCAGAGCGCATGGAGGAACTGAGCGAGTATTTCTCCGGAGAAAAGCCGCTTACGCGTGTCGAGCGCAACGAGGATCTTATGAAATGGTTCAAAGATTTGGCTGAGAAGGTGAACAGTCTGGATTACGTGGATCACGTCAAGGCTGGACGACGCATTAAGCGTTTGATTGAGGCACTGGGCCACGTTGAGCAGTTTGACCAAATTGACACAAATTTGCAAGTTAAGGCATACCTGGAGGAATCGCGCGAGTTTCTCACAGAAATGGTGCGCACTGTGCGCATTCGAGACGAGGTCATGGGCATCATCGAGAACGTATCGGATCTCTCCTACGGCTGGGAGATTATCAACGACTTCATGAAGATCCTGCACCAGCGCGTGAAAAACGATCCGTCGTCTGTTATTTTGCTGCGTGCAATGTTCCTCAAGTTTGCGTCAATCCTGGACGTGCCGCTCACTCGTATCCATCAGTGCGGCTCTGAGGATGTGATCTCTGTCGCCGAGTATTATTCGGCTGAGCTTGTGGACTACGTGCGGCGCGTGATGGAAGTGATCCCACAGAGTGTCTTCCGTATCCTGGCAGGCATCATCAAGCTTCAGACTGACCACATGAAGCCAATTCCGGTAAAATTCGAGAACACGTTGCTGAAGAACCACGCCCAGTTGAACGAGCGCTACCGTCTTGCGCGTGCGACCAACGAGGTTTCCAAGTACACCGAAGGTATTCTGGCGATGAAGCGTACTCTGCTCGGTATCATTGAGGTCGACCCTCGACAAGTGCTGGAGGATGGTTTGCGCAAGGAGCTCGTTTACCGCGTGTCTCTCGCTTTCCACGACGTGTTGATTTTCGAGAAGAACACGTCCGAAGAGTGCAACGAGATCTTTGTGAAGTTGGCGTCCAACCTGGATGCTTACCGGCTGTCCTTCGAGTACATCCAAGACTACATCGGCATTTATGGTCTACGCATGTGGCATGAGGAGCTGTCGCGCATTATCAACTACAACGTCGAGCAGGAGTGCAACCGCTACTTGAAGAAGAAAGTGTACGATCGCGCATCACAGTACCAGAGTCGCGCTATCCCGATTCCACGCTTCCAGCCGCCGTCGGGCGATATGAGCGTTAACTTTATGGGACGCCTCATGCATGCGCTTTTCATCATGACTGACCCCCACACGACTATTTACTCCCCGCAGTCCATTGGTTGGTTCTCTGAAGATGGCCAAGAAGTCTGCGGCATCGGGGCTTTCTCGGTGTTGCACAAGAGTGTGGGGCTGCTGGGTCTTGCAGGTTTGGATCGTATGCTTTCGTTCCGTATCGTGCACACACTCAACAATTTGGTCAAGTTCTGGGGGTCAGCCGTGACTCCCTACTACCCGCTGCTGGACCAGCTCTCCGCAGCTCTTGTGCCAGAATGGAAGTTGCCAGAGCACTCAACGAAGTTGTACGAAGCCGCGTTGAAAAAGGTTGAGAAGATCATGAGCAAGCTGCTTAAGGCTGTGCTGATTATTGGCCAGGCGGCACTCATCCGGCGACAGATTTCGAGCGAGTTGTCGTTTTCGAGCCGCCTTGACGCGAATCTGCTGGCCACGGCCCTGGACACGCTGAACATTTCTCTACTGAACGACATTCGCGCGCACTACCGTGATCCGAAGAACAAGCCGTACCCGGGCAGCGACGGCAATCCTGTCCTTGTGGAATTGAACAAGTACCTGGAGAACACGGGTGCGAATGACCCGTTCCAGAAGATCTACGTGACAGTCGCCGATCCGTTGGAGGGCCTGGCAGCGATGTTCATGCTCTTCGTGGTGGCCTACATGCCGAAACTGCAGTACGACCGCAACTTCGGCGCGCTCAGTCGCGTGGGTAAGAACCCAATCGACGGTGAGCCTCTGCTCGTAGGTATTCTCACCATCTTCAAACAGTTCCACCCGTCGTACACGGAGAAGTTCCTGGCCTATCTGGGTCAGTTCGTGCGTACCAAGGTCAACGACATCTTCGCCGAGAAGGCCGATAAAAAGGGCAAGACACCTTCGCTGCCGACGGAGCTACCCGTAGACGTGGTCAACACGCTCATCTTCATGCTCGAGTTTGCACGCTGTGCCAAGATCAAGCGCAGCGTCCTGGACGCCCACGTCCCTGCGTACGTTTTTGATGCCATCCAGCTTTAAATCTTGGTGCGTCGTCGAGAAACACCTCCATCTTTCCGCTGGAGATCAACCAAACCTTGCACACGGCGAAGCCACGGGCAGCGGAGTCTGAGCAAGCAGTCGATAAAAACACATTAATGGACGATACAAGTAGACGCCGTCAGCTGTGTTCCTTCATGCAAACAGATACAAGCACTATTGACGAGGTAGGAGTGTGGACCAACATGCCCACAAAGTTGGCCACAAAAAGGAAAACCCACACCATCCCAAGTGCTCGTGGCACAGACGAGTGAGTGAGACCGGTCCAACTCGATTCAAACGCGTCGCACCATGTAATACCAGCCAGCATGCGACTCGCTGCCAGTTTCCAAGCGAGGCAAAGCAGTGCATCAAAGGCAACTTCAAAAACGGCAAGTTGAAGTTGCATGTCACTGTCGATCACTAAAGCGAGGGTAATGGTGTGCTTCACACAAAACGAGAATTCACGGGGAGCCAGAAAACGAAGCAAAAGCACGCGCGCCGCCATGAGCGAGTCGGGAACCAGCGGCGGCTTTAAGGAGCCCTCGCGCGCCATCTTCGCGCAGCGCGACCTGCACCACTTCCTGGGCTCTCCGGTGCGTACCAGCGTCCCCACCCGCGCGTCCCTTGAGTCGCCCCGCTCTCCGTCGCTCTTGAGACATAAAAATCTGATCTTTTCTTCGTTGGGTTATTTTATTTTATTTATGCTACGTTTCCTCAGGCCCAGCAGATGATCTTGGTGTTTGTCAAGCACCTGAACAAGAGTGTCAAGGGCAAGCGCATCTCCAGCGAGTACGAAGTCTCCCCGGTGCGCTAAGCTAGTGCTGCAGTCGTTAGAGGAGCTACGAGTAGTAGTAGTAGGGATAGAGCCAGAGAGACTTACCCGCGCTTGCCGTGGCTGTTGTTTGTGTGCCTACAGAACGTCCAGAAGGCTGTGGAACTGGTGAACGAGATCAACTCATGGATCGATGAGATCCCGCCCATCCAGCAGCCCATGCGCTTCGGCAACAAAGCCTTCCGCACGTTCTACGACAGAGTAGTGGAGGTGAGCACTTGGGCTATTACTAGACCGGAGGGAGACGACGAGTGGAGGGCCTGACATGATACTGTGTTCTCTTGTTCATGAACAGCGAACTCCTGCGATGCAGGAGAACATGCTGCCGGAGGAGCTGCGTGGCGCTGTCATTGAACTGGCGGCGTACCTGGACGACTCGTTCGGCAACCGTGTCCGTATCGACTACGGCACGGGCCACGAGACCAGCTTCATCGTGTGGATGTGTGAGTGTTGCAGAATATAGGCTCGGGCCTGTGAAGTGGAGTGTCGGTGCTGACCTTTTCGTTTTCTTTGCCACTGCTGCTCTTGTATTGTAGGCTGTCTGCACAAGCTAGGCTTTTTCAAGCAGTCGGACTTCCCAGCTCTTGTGCTGCGGTTGTTCACAACTTACCTGGCGCTGATGCGTCGCCTGCAGAAGCTGTACATGCTGGAGCCGGCAGGCTCTCACGGCGTCTGGGGTTTGGATGACTACCACTGCCTTCCGTTTTACTTCGGTTCGTCCCAGCTAATTGGCCCACACGAGATCCTGCCCGATAGCGTGCACGATGACAGCGTGCTCGAGGCCAACCACAAGGAGTATTTGTACCTGGACGCTATCAAGTTCATCAAGGAGGTGAAGGCGGGCTCGCCCTTCGCAGAAACGTCGCCCATGCTGAACGACATCAGTGCACTGCCGTCATGGGAGAAGACCAACGGTGGCATGCTCAAGTTGTACGAGGGTGAAGTGCTGAAGAAGTTGCCGGTGATCCAGCACCTGCGCTTCGGAACGTTGTTCCCGTGCACATGGACTCCGAGCCACGCAGCCGATGACGGTTCCACCTACATCCCGGTGAGCACGCATCCAGGTACGGGCGTTCGTGCTCCTAACTTTGATCTCGAGGGTGTGTCGGCGAAGGCGCCGTGGGTTTCCGTAGAAACGCTGGCCGCCACGAAGGATACTGCGATGTCGCCGCTGCGTCACAGCAAGAAAAAACTGGACGAGTAAACCCACAGCATTCGTGCAAGAAGCTCATGCCGACGCTCCGAAACGGGTGGGTACTGTCATTTAAAAAAAGTCAAATGTGGTGCTTCTGGAAAAAAGTGCTTTTTATATGTTCGGTGCAGTCTGAGCTTGGGTCTTGCTGAGCAAGTAACATGTGAGCCGTTTGCCTGTTGCAGTGCAGTCCGATGCGGTGCAGTGCTGGCATGTGTTCGTTCTGTCTACCGTGGATGTGCTGTGTTGTTGTTGTTACTGTGGCTGTGGTGGTGGCGCTTCAAATCCGTGGACCGATGGCGAGGGAGCTCCTCTGGTCGACGCCAACGAAATATGCTGTTTAGCAGGCTTGTCGACTGCTGACTCAGCTCTCCAGCGCGTTTAACGCCACGTCGCTTGCTTCCGGTCGAGGCCACGTGTTCGGGCGCGTCACGGTCGGGCGGCAAGAGTGGAAAAGGGCTTCGCCACCGAGATCGGGCCACGCGGGACCCGCTCCAGTCGAGCTGGGCAGCGAAACAGACGACGGCGTGAACAAGAAACGGCCCGAGGAGCTGCGGCAGCGCTGTCGAGGCTCTGGCTGAGTGGAGCCATTTCGCCGCGTGAACGCGACACGGGGAAACGGATTGCGGAGCGCGAGCGAGCGAGCCACGAACAGCGGCAACCGTGCACCAGAAAACAACCAGTGAAATTCTTGAGGAGGCCAGTCAGCCAGCGGGCCAGCCAGTCGTGACGAGCGCAGATTACGGAGGAGCGAGCCTCGACGATTTAATCGGAAGAGGACAGAGCTGTGGTGAGACGAAGGTTGCAGCGGAGGCGTTACGAACAGCAGCCATGCGATGCGAGGCAGCGGGCAAGAAAGCGGGCGACCAAGCGACTTTCGTTTGCGGCGACCGCGGAACTGGAAGGAGAAGGGCTGACCAAGAAGCCGTTCGACCGTGACACCGGCAGACGCGAGGCGGAACAACCCAGCACCGGCAATGCTGCGTTATCATTGCATTGATAACGCAGCAGCATTTTTGGCTTTGGTGCCGTGGTCTCCGCTAACGAAACTCGCGCGATCTCACCCCGAATTCAGCCCGTTCGAACAGCGAGCCGGCAAACTGAACGATACGCCGCTCAGCCTGTTGCCGCAGCATAGTTGGTGCTCGCTACACGTACCTACCAGGGCTCCACCTCTACGAGCAACAGTGCAATCGATCCCAATACAAACGCAAAGGCTAGAGGCGTCGGGGGCCACGCATCCCTTCAATCACCACACACCTTGGTTTAACATTTCCAAGTTATGCCTGTACAATTAGCGTGGCGTGCGCCGCGCTGCCTGTCGCGGCAGCCACCCCTTCCTGGCGCCAAGGCGCTGGTGGCGAGCGCAAGACGTGAAGACGAACCCGACGGCAACGAGAGGGAAGGCGCTCAGCCGGCCGGCGCCGGCGTGCTTCGCCGCTGCTTCCAAGCCGGCCCTGCATCCGCCAACCGTTGTGGCCACGTACCGCCTGAATCCTGAAGAGTCAGAAAAAAACGATGACGCCGCGATATGCCTGAGACGTTTGGCCAGAACCGAGCCATTTCCATCGGAAACACATACCCCGTCTCATCCGATACAGCTCACCACCAAACGAGTGTGGCGGGCAGTCGCTGCAGCAACGAAAAGCCCAGCGCTCTGGTTGGCGACTGTGCTTTGCAACCAGTTTCTTACCCCGAAAGGCTAAGTAAATCACCTTGCGCCACTTTACATCCAGCGTGCTGTGAGAGGCCTGTATTTTGACGGGCACACCACCTCCAAGCTAGCGAGTGAAACGCTCACCGCGACAATGAGCGCTGCTGACTTCACGGGCAAAGACACGGGTGCGCCGTCAAGAACCGCCCGGCGGAAAACAGCGTGCACTGCGACGCTGCTGGTCCTGCGATGAGTAAGATAAGACCTCCGCTGCGACTTCAACCGCGCTTGATCCTGCATATTGGGGAACCCTCCAAAGATAGCATTGTTGGCCAACAACAACCCGTTGCCCCATGACGACCTGTGCAAATCTCGCGACCCGGCAAGACCGATAGCGGATTACCCATCGGCTTCGGCGGGGTAAAATATCCGTGGGGGAAACACCTGCTTTTCAGTGGTCTGAGCGATCCACGTCGCCCACTCGTGCGTAACTGCCGTAGACTTGAAAATTGTATGGTGTTAAATGCGGAAACATTATTGCGCGACCGTTTCCGGATGTAGCCGTTGATACGGAGGCATGAAGTCCGTTGAGCTCCGTCCGCACCGAGAGCGACAGGCCGCGATGGCGCCACCACCCCAGGCGTGGCTCTGATGGATAGATGCCGCCGGACTCGGGCTGCTCGCCCTTGCGAATCGATCGATGGACCTCGACGCGGGCGAGGAGCTGCGAGCGACGGTGTGTTTTGCAAAGACGCGGGGCCAGCGGCGACCATCGGTGAGAAAAATTGCACTGGCTACTGATGCAGGATTGCATGGACGGGACCCGCTGTTAAACACAACCCTTGGCGGGGCGCGCCCTTTCCCAGCCTTGTCCTGAGTGGCCAGCAGGGGTTTCGTCCTCTTGACTGGCGGAGAGCGCCACATGGGGGCCCTTTTACATGAACTCGGTTTTGCCTTGGGCGCGCCGCCGCTCGGATCTGTCATTTTGGAATTCACTCCGCCGAGCCCAAGCCCAGCGAGCGCCTCACGTACCCCACGCCAACTGCCCCAAGGAAGAACAGTTCTCTCGGTACCATGGCTCCGTACGCTCCCACCGACGGCATCACCAAGCTCGCCATCGACCAGAGCAAGCACTTCACGGAGGCCCTGAAGGAGGCCCTAAAGAGCTCGGCCGACCAGCAGAAGGTCGCGGCGGAGAAGGTCTCGGAGCTCGTGGCCGGCGACGCAAACCTGAACCTTGGCGTCGTCTCCCAGGAGCTGCGCAACGCCCTCGAGGGCAACGACGCGGATGCCAAGGTCGTGGCCGCCTACGTCGTGGACGACCTCATGCAGAAGCACGCCGAGCGCGTGGAGGCGTACCTCTTGCCTCTGCTCTCCGTGTTCCTGGACCTGCTGGCGGACAAGAAGCCGGCGGTGCGCCCCGTGGCGCAGGAGGCTGCCCTGACCATCGTCAGCTCGGCCAACAAGAACTCGACCATCCGCATCCTGCCGATCCTGTTCGCCGGCCTGGACCGCTCCAAGAAGTGGCAGACCAAGAAGGGCGCGCTCGACCTCGTGGCTGAGCTCTCCAAGGTGGCCCCGTACCAGGTGGGCCGCTGCCTGCCCGACATCATCCCGGAGGTGACGGACTGCATGTGGGACACCCGCAAGGAGGTCAAGATCGCCGCCAAGGAGACCATGACCAAGGTCTGCAACGTCGTGGGCAACATGGATATCGAGCCCTTCATCCCCGCCCTGGTGAGCTGCCTGGCCAACCCCACGGAGGTGCCCGAGTGCACGCACAAGCTGGCCTCGACCACGTTCGTCAAGACCGTGGAGGCCCCCGCTCTTGCCATCATGGAGCCGCTGCTGAAGCGTGCTCTGGCTGAGGGCAAGACCGCCGTGAAGCGTCAGGCCGCCGTCATCATTGACAACATGTGCAAGCTGATGGACGACCCCGCCGAGGCCCAGCTCTTCATCCCCAAGCTGCTGCCCGGCCTGAAGAAGGTCATTGAGACCCAGGCCGACCCGGAGTGCCGTGAGGTGGCCACCCGCGCCCACGAGACCCTGTTCGTGGCCGGTGGTTCCATGGAGGTGTCCGAGGACGAGCTCAAGGTCGACTACGAGAACATCCACAAGGTCGTTGTCGAGTCGATCGCCGCCAACCCGGCTGCCGTCAAGGCCAACATCGACAGCTTCTCGGTCGACTACGTGACGGGCATCTGCTACTTCCTGGTTGTGTCGCGCAACTTCGTCGAGGCCACCTTCGAGAAGCAGATCTCGACCTACTTCAAGACCTTCATGAAGGCCGACAACCTGAAGCCCCTGTCTAAGGAGATCCGCGACCGCTGCTTCAAGGAGAACAAGTCGATCTTCATTGAGGACGTGGACTGCGATGAGGGCATCCCCGACCTGTGCAACTGCGAGTTCTCGCTTGCTTACGGTGGTATGATTCTGCTGAACAACGCCCGCCTTCGCCTCAAGCGCGGCCACCGTTACGGTCTGTGCGGCCCCAACGGTTGTGGTAAGTCGACGCTCATGCGCGCCATTGCCAACGGCCAGCTCGAGGGCTTCCCCAGCAGGGACGAGCTCAAGACTGTGTTCGTCGAGCACAACCTGCAGGCTTCGGAGGCCGAGCTGTCCGTGGTCGACTTCATCCTGATCGATGACGACCTGAAGAACACCCCCCGCAAGGAGGTTGAGGACGCTCTTGCCGATGTCGGCTTTACCGCCGAGATGCAGGCCCAGGCCGTCGGCTCCCTGTCCGGTGGTTGGAAGATGAAACTCGAGCTGTCGCGTGCCATGCTGCTGAAGGCCGACATTCTGCTGCTTGATGAGCCCACGAACCACTTGGATGTCAAGAACGTCGCTTGGCTCGAGAACTACCTGACGAGCGTGCCCAACGTCACCTCCATCATGGTGTCCCACGACTCCGGCTTCCTCGACAACGTGTGTACTAACATCATCCACTACGAGACCCGTAAGCTGAAGATCTACAAGGGCAACCTGTCCAAGTTCGTGGAGCAGAAGCCCGAGGCCAAGGCCTACTACGAGCTCGAGTCGGAGAACGTCAAGTTCATCTTCCCGGAGCCTGGTTTCCTTGCCGACATCAAGAACAAGGGTAAGCCCATCATTCGTCTGACCAACTGCTCGTACAAGTACCCTGGTGCCTCGAAGCCGTCGATCAACAACATCTCGGTGACGTGCGCTCTGTCGAGCCGTATCGCCGTGCTGGGACCCAACGGTGCCGGTAAGTCGACGCTGATCAAGATGCTGACGGGTGAGGTGGAGCCGACCAGCGGCCAGGTGTGGAAGCACCCTGCCATGCGTTTCGCCTACGTGGCCCAGCACGCATTCCACCACATTGAGTCGCACCTCGACGAGACGGCCAACCAGTACATCCAGTGGCGTTTCCAGTCCGGTGAGGACAAGGAGCTTCTGGCCAAGGAGACCCGTAAGCTGACCCCGGAGGAGAAGCTGCACTACAAGAAGCCGGTGAACTGGGAGGGCGAGAAGCGCGTCCTGGAGGAGATTGTCTCCCGCCGCAAATTCAAGAAGAGCTTCGAGTACGAGCTTAAGTGGGAGAAGTGCCCCGTCGACGAGAACGCCTGGGTGCCGCGTGAGAAGTGTGAGAAGTGGGGCTGGGACAAGCTCCTCCAGATCGCCGATGACCGCGAAGCTGCCCGCGCCAACCTGCAGGCTCGCCCGCCTACGGCCATTGCCGTGCAGAAGCACCTGGACAACTTCGGCCTGAACGCCGAGTTCGGTACCCACTCGCGCATGCGTGGTCTGTCCGGCGGTCAGAAGGTGAAGGTCGTGCTGGCTGCTGCTATGTGGCTGAACCCGCACATCCTGGTGCTTGACGAGCCGACGAACTACCTTGATCGCGACTCGCTTGGCGCCCTTGCTTCGGCCATCAAGGAGTTCAACGGTGGTGTGCTCATGATTACCCACCACCACGAGTTCTCGTCGGCCCTGACCCAGGAGACGTGGAACGTTGAGGCCGGTTTCCTCTCGATTGAGGGCCAGCAGGCGGAGGACAAGACCAAGATCGAGCAGAAGGACGAGGAGGAGACCGTCGACGCCTTCGGCAACGTCACCAAGACCAAGATCAAGCGCAAGCTCACCCGCAAGGAGAAGAAGGCCAAGGAAAAAGCCCGCAAGGAGGCCGAGGCCCGCGGTGAGTACTACAGCGACTCCGACGAGGAATAAGTGGCTTCGACTTCGCGCCCACGATCCATCTCTTTCGATTGATACCTTAATTTGCAACATTAGATAGATGTGGTATGTAGAGTGACTTGGGAGGCGAGTAGACCGCGGATTCCAAACTGCATAGAAAGAAGCCATTTTGCAGACCAACCTTTTAGTTTACCTTTTCATCATTTCATTCCTGCCTGCCAGTGCAGGTCAAAGTGTTAGTCTGGCACTGCGCTAACCTGGAGGAGGCTTGGAGTGCGTCGTCAGATACCCATCTGGGTCGATCTGCCCAAGTCTCCACGATACAACTTTGATTCATGCTCTTTCGTAAGACGATACTTAGCCCCAGAATGCCTATCATAAGACAAAGCGTCTTACGTTTTCCGATCAACGCGTTTTGACTACATCTTGGTTTTTGTATACCAGTGGCTACATTGCATATTGTCTGTCAAAACACAAGACAGTTTGTCGGACACTAGTTTGCGCCATACAATTGGCCAAAAGTGTTCAGGTCACAGCGGCATCGTTGCCGCGGACGCGGTGGCAACGTTGAGCGCCGAAACGATGCAGTTGCATGGTGCGGTAGGGTAAGTAGCCTCTTGTTCACACACGAAGCGATGTGCCTGTAGTTGGCCGCTGGCACTGCCTGCAGCCATGCTTTTTGTCGATGCTACAGCGTAGACTGGTTTGCGAATGCGCGCTCTATCCGAATCTCCATCTTCTATGTAGTGTTAGTACTTTAATGTAGAAAGGAGAGTTGGCGTGGTGGGGTGAACGACAACAGTCGTTCACCCCAGTAAAGCGAAGAAACATTGCTCCACTACGGGAACAAACGGTCGCATGGTAACTGTGCTATGATGTCCTTACATTCCATTCCTGGCAAGTATATTTAAATCTTCTAGCAGGAGGTTAGTGCATGGCGTCAGGATCAAAGGCCCGGACATTTCAAGGGGCATTTTTCAAGTGCGCTGCCTCTAGTAAAGGGGGCAAAATGCGCACACAGATAAATCAGTCCAATTTACGAGCCGAGATGCAGCAACACTCGAGACTACATAATACAATATTAACCAATGAAATTGCTACATTTGATTTGTCGTCAAACTGTCTTACGAATGCTCGACACAAGTGAATGTCTTCTCACAGCTAACCACTGTCTTGTTTGCCATGATTCCTTTCGAGTTTTCTTAGATATTCTGCCAGACAAGGAAGCATACATTCATCTATTATTCTACACGTTTTTACGAAAGAAGACATCAATGCTGTTCTCAGGTTTCCTGCGCGGGGTAGCAGACATATCGTGCGCTCCTCTCTTCTTGCCCAACACGCTCCGCGACGGAGGCGAGCGATCTCTAGTGACACAGACGTCCAAGTGCGCGTTCACCTCCATACAGCTCCGTGCGTTCAGTAGTTTTCCGCATATTGGGCATGGCTTCACGTACTCGTCCACCTTCTCCGACTCCTGAACGGCCGTGAAGGCTTGCGTGATGCCGCTTTGCTTCGGCTTCTTGCTCACGACGCACGCGTCCATGTGAGCGTTCACTTCCATGTTGTTCTTGACATTCAGCAGCTTGCTACAGATCGGACACGGCTTGTTTTCTACTTCAAGCGCAGTCGTTTGGTTTGAGCTGGGGGTGAACGCGTGCGGGACACTGCTCTTCTTTGGCCTCTTGCGCGACAATTTATCCACGATGATGCACCCGTCTTGGTGCGCACCATTCCGAGATTCAGCATTGACTGCAAGAGCTTGCTTGCATACAGGACACGGGAAGTAGTCGTCCTTATTTGCGGTGGCTTTCATTAGATCCGCGTAGTATTCCCCCATGGCAGCTTCGGTCTCGAGGTCCCGCTCACTTCTGCTACCGCCTTGTGTAGTCGACGTTAGTATGGTATTCGAGGGATCGGTGACATGCTCGGCGAACTTGTTGATGACCAATTGCCGCTTCTTGGCGCCTTCGGACTGCGATGAGATTGACACACTTCCAGACGAGTTTGGACGATGAACCAGCGTTGCTGCGCGAACGCCCAGAAGACGAAGTGTAAGCGGCAACTCGCGGCGTAGCAGCTCAACAGCGCTGGAGTACAGGTCCTCAGCAGTGAAAATCGCAGACGCTAGCGTCACCGATCGAGAGCAGCGAGCAAAATCGGTGTCCTTGTAGACGAAAGTCACGTTCTTGGCTGCTTTGTTCGCTTTCTCGAGATCCTTCGCGAGCATTTTGCAGACCTCCAGGCATTTGGCTTCGAGCTCCTTGGGATCGCTCAGGCTTCGGAACGTGCGCTCACGGCTGAAACTCTTGCGCTCTTGCTTTTCTCGACGCTCCCGCACACCAAGTGATGTCTGCAGCAGCCAGACTGCAGTCTTCTCGGTAAACAAATGGAAGATCTTGCCCCGTTGATTAAATAGCTCGCCGCCGGTATGTACGCCCAGGGCCTCGTTAAGAATCTTCTCCGTGACTTTGCCGATGCCACCAATCTTTCGAACCGGTAGGTCACAAAGGAAAGTCAATACCCGCTCGCGCGTGAACGGCAGCACGTACTGTCCGTTGGGTTTATTCATATCCGAGCAAATCTGCACCATCAAGAACAAGGTTAGCCACAGCAAAAAAATATTAAAAATGTAGCGAATTTGCGATACCTTAGCCAGCATGGCATTCACTGCGATTCCAGCGCTTGCAGTCAACTGGGTGCAGTCAAAGATTTTCTGCCGCAACTCACGGACAACCGCAGCAGCAATGGCAGCACGTCCAGCGGGGGTTGACGGCCATTGCTCTTCCTCCTCCTGCACCTCCTCCTTGCTCTCAAAGTCGTCTAAAGCGACCGAGGCGTATTTTTGCCAATTTTTCGCTACGTAGTCTGTCAGATCCAGGCACGCTTCATCCAAACTGAAAGCCTCGAAGTTCGGGTCGTACTGTGCGAACACAGCGCGGACCTGTGCAGCGACACCTGCGTATTTCTCCATGTTCACCGGTACGAAATGTAGCTCCGGACAAAGTTCTTTGCCAATGAAGCCTGGCATAGCAGCACGTACGCCGAATTGTCTGGCAGCGTAGTTGGTCGTGCTGATCATGTTCATCCCGCCGACTGCGAGCGGCACGTCGCACAGCTTGGGGTCGTCTCGCATCTCCACGGCCGCATAGAACATATCCATGTCCACAACCACAATCGTCTTCGAGAGGTCCCGGGTCGCCTCCATCCGCGCGACTCGTTCGTCGGCCTCCTGTTGCAGTCGCAGCTGCTGGCCTCCTGTCAAGCCCGCGAGCTTCTTGCGCATGGCAGCCACTCGCTGCTCTACCTTCTCGTTGTCACGCAGCGACTTCTGGTAGAAGGACGAGTCCTTGGACATCTTGTGCACCACCTCCTGTACGTGCTGCTTGTCCACGCCCTTCATGCCAGCCTTGTCCGCCGTGAACACGAACATAGCAGAGGTGGCGGCGGCCTCTGCATCCGAAGACTGGGCCTCCGTCGCTGTTGCTACTTCTGCTGCTGCTGCTGTCTCTGTTGTTGCTGCTGCTGGGGTGGCACGGACATTCTTCTCGTTGGGCTTGACGGACGCCATGCCGATTGCCAATTGGCAAGTGTGTGGCTTTTCAAAAATGCACCAGCGGGATGGGATAATTGAACTTGGTGTACGAATTGTGTGGTACACAATAGGCCGTTTGCCGCCGTATCATAGCAACTCGATCTCGAGACGGCGCCAAATCCAATTCGTATGAATTTCCAGCAGGTGGAGCCGTCCACCATGGGGAAGTTTACACTTGACGTCGTCTAAATCTTCCATCAATGTTTAACGTTAGTTACCGATCGCTCAAACGCCCGCAAGGTCCAATGCTTCGAGCGACCGAGAGAGCGGCAACTCCTGCAACACCTCCTCGATGATCGTCTCCACCTCCTCGCCGCCCTCAACAGCCTCTCCGATGCGGTTGCGAGTCGCCTCTTCGAATTGACGCAGGATGGCCTCCGTCTTCTCCACTTCCGTCTCCCATTTGAGGTTCGGCGCGCCGTTGTTCGGGTTGCCAGAGGCATCCAGCGTGCTGGCAGCGGCAAGCTCCAGGTCCGGTTGATGCACGATCATGGTCGGGTGTTTCGTGACTCGCACGCCGTTCCAGAGCCACTGCGGGGCGTCGGCAGTCACCACGATCTCCTCCGAAAAGGCCGCCAGGTACTCGGACTCGTCCTTCTCGATGCCGTGGTCCCGTGTGAACCTGCAAACCGCATAGACAAAGACGTTAAGAGTTAACCATCAACTGCTAGTATCATATTGCCATTACAGTTGCAATTGAATTGAGCAGCCCCCCACCTGCAGAACTCCGAGACGGTCGCCAGTTTGGTCCAGTTCTGGAGCTTGCGGAGGATCATTACGACGATGCCCGTGACGTTGGACCCATCTAGGCAGTGGATGTAGAGCGGGAGGTTCTTCTTCTGCACCAGGATCTCAATAATCTGCGCGGCCGTGGCGGGCGACACCGTCACGTTGTCGGACGTGAACTTCTCGGCGTAGAAGTGGTGGAGCGTGATCTTTTCATTGGCACAGAAGCCCGCCAGGTCGCTCGTGGGCGGCTCTGGGATCACCGACACCACGGTCTTGAGCCCCATACGCCGCAGGAAGCGGAAGTTCTTGAGCGTCGGGTAAGCGCCGCGATACAGCCCCTGCTGCACGGTGCTGAAGCGGAAGGGCGGGATCAGCGCCGGCGCCGTCGCGTTCATGGTACAGTATTGCTCTGCTGCTGCTGTGCAATAGCCACAGTGTACCGTGCTTTGGGTACATGATGCGGGATCACTTGGGTAAAGACACTGCGACTCGTTACAAAGGGCAAGAGAGAGAGAGAGCTCATTTTCCTATTTGCATCAAAGTCGAGTGTGTTGAGCCTGCCTGTTAGCAGCCATGTTCGTGATGATCAACGCGACGGACAACCCGTGGATGGTGGCGCTGCTGCTGTTCGTGCAGGTGGTGATGCCGCTGCTGCAGAGCAACGCCGCGGACAACGAGGGCGCGTCGCTGGCGCTCAACGTGGCCATCCTGTTCCTGCTTGGGCTCTCCTTCATGACCTTCTGGAAGGCGGCGCGCTTCTGCCGCGTGCTTTACCAGCTCCGAGGACGGGTGAGGCGCCAATTCCTTTTTGAATTCACCGTCCAATATGGCTGTATTTATTGCTGACTAACTTTTGTATTGTGTTGCTATCTGCTGCTTGCAGCACCCGGAGATGGGCTGGATGGCCTTCTTCCGAGAGGCCTACACGCAGGTGTCGGCGGCTGCGGCACAGCGCGAGACCAACAACCAGAACCGCGCGGCGCAGGAGGACGCGCGCTCCGAGACGTTCAACCGCACGCTGCGCACGATTCAGGTGATGCCGACCGAGGAGTTCAGGACGCCCGAGGAGCTCAAGGACGCCAGCATCGCCGAGCTCAAGCAGCGCCTCGAGCGTCGCGACGTGGACTTTGCCGGCTGCGTGGAGCGCCAAGAGCTGGTGGACCTGCTGGTCAAGTACCGTGGAGGTCCGTCCAACAACGACACGTGCTGCATCTGCTGCGAGGAGTACCAGACGGGCGACGTGCTGCGTCTGCTGCGCAAGTGCAAGCACGAGTTCCACCTCGAGTGTCTGGACAAGTGGGCGTTCACCTCGGTCAACTCGCAGCGCGCGCCGTCCTGTCCGCTGTGCAACCAAGGCCTGGAGTGAGCGAGCAGCACATCTCTCCAGCTGCAATTGCGTTGATCCATAACCCGCGTCGTGTGCATCGGATGCAGTCAGTTTTTAGTCGCCTCGTGAACAGTCCGCCTCAAGGTTTCGTGTTGCCAGGCCGAGAACAAGCAAGTTCATATTTCGCTGTAAGATTTCGCTCGTTGAATCCTTGCGTGATATTCATCGCCGGATGCCGTCCTACAAGTACAGTAGTTGCCTTCAACTCGCATGCGCTGGATAGCCCAGATTGGTTGATAAGACGTCATAGTTTTGACCAATAAGAGACCGTGTATTTAATTTTGCCGGGTCATTCGGGCTTGTGGACGTCAAGTGTGCCATGATGTCGCTGCGCTCCCTTGCGCTTGGCCGCCGGTCGGCGCTCGCCGCTGCTCGCAGTACGTATCTCTGTCTCTCCGCCTAACTGTCTTGAACACTTCGGTCTCTAATCCACTGCTGATTCTTTCGGACTCAGCCGCTGCACTGTCGACGCAATCCGCTCCTGGCCGTACGTTTAAGATAAAACTTCCTTCACCTATGCCCTCCAGTTCCTCCTCTCGTTGCTAATTGCTTTCATTCTGCGTTGTAAATCGTGCTGAATTGATGCAATTGTGCAGCTATCGTGCTGTCGTACGGCGATGGATTCTTGGGCGCCCTGGGTACCGGCAGCTACGAGAATGTGCTGACCCCCACGCCACTGCCTTCGACAACCGGTCTGCCGGTGAAGGAGATCTCCGTCGGCTGGGCCCACGCTGGCTTCGTCACCAACGACGGAGACGCCTACATCTACGGGCGCACGCACTCCTTTCGCGACGTCATCCGGTCGACCAACATGCAGCGCGTGCTGCCCAAGCTCGTGTGGTGGATGAACAACTTCACGCGTGCGCGCGGGGTGGACACGCTGGTGCCGGCGCTGCTGGAGCTGCCGGAGGGTGAGAAGGTGAAGAAGATCGTGTGCTCCACGGCGTTGACGTTCCTGCTGACTGAGAGCGGCAAGCTCTTTACGTTGGGCGCCAACGGCTACGGCCAGTGCGGTGTGGGCGAGGAGAGTGTCAGTGTCCAGCCGCCTACTCACGTGGACATCGATGGTGATGAGATTGTGGACATTGCTGCAGGCTACCAGCACGGACTTGCAGTGACGAAGAATGGCACTGTGTTCACGTGGGGCAAGGGCGAGCGCGGACAGCTTGGCTTTGGCACTGGCAATGCCGATGCGCCGCAGGAGCTCATTGCGCTGAAGGGCAAGAAGATCGCCCATGTTGGAGCTGGGTTCAACCACTCTTGCGCTGTTTCAGGTATACTTATGCTCGGGATTGTCGGGCTGCGTTTTGTTGCGGGTACACGCTAACTAACATGTTTGCTTGTTGATGCCTTGTAGAGGACGGCGAGCTGTACCTGTGGGGCAAGTTGCTGAACCCGAAGGGAAAAATGGAAAGTAACGGCGATCAGATCACCCCGCGACTTGTACGCACTAGCGATGCCGTGAAGCTCTTCAAGTGCAGCCAGTTCCACACGACCTTCATTACTGGTGAGTTACGGTCTCGCTGTGATGGAGTTCTAAAGCATTCAGTAGCATCTGACACATCTGCATTTTGTGGTATTATAAAGCTGACGACGAGATCTGGCTGGCGGGTCGCACGCCTTCGGGCCGTCAAGAGAAGAACGATTTTGCTCATGTCGGATCTCAGATGCACACAGCCCCGCTGCAGATCACAAACGACCAAGTGGTACGCGCAAAGGACATCGTGAAGATCGGCAAGGGTGTGGACAAGTCCTCTTTCGTCACTGGTGCGTCTGTTGTTGTGTACTGGAGTGATTCGCTGGTGATTGAGTCATTACTGATATTTGCGCTGTTGTTTATCTCTGCAGCTGACGGCCGAGCGTACGAATGGAATTTTGAGTCTGGAATCCACGCGGTGAAGGAGCTCGACGACCTGAAGGTGGCGTCCTTAGAGAGCGGCTTCCACTACCGTCTCCTGCTAGCTCAGCCTAAAAATTAGACGAGTGTTTTCTGCTTGATAATACGAATGCGGTTGCATTTTTGCTTCCTCCGATACAATGGAGTACTGTTACAAGGTCTGCTTACGCTTAGATATTGAACTCTTCCTTAGATACGAGCACCGGCTGGATGCGCCGGCGCATGCGGCCCGTCAATGGGCTAAACTCCTCGCCAAGGTCTTCGTCGCCACTATCACTGATCAACGCGTCCAGCGCGGCAGCTTCCTCCTTTGCCTCGGCGGTGATGCTTCGATCAAACGCAACTTTCTGACCAAACTCCTGCAGGCCACAGGCAGGAGAGCGCTGCGTTGTTTCACTTTCGTCCCCACTGCTCAGCACTTGAGCAGCTACCTCCTGCTCGAATAGTCCGGACGGCGCCATCAATGGCATAATGTCCTGCACTTGGACATTTTCGTCATCTGCGGCGGCATTGGGTCCCGCCGGGACTCTCCACAGATACGAGACCTCGACCACGTTCTCGCCCTTAGTCTGCTTGCCGCACTGCTTCCAGATATCGAAGCAGGTGACATTCGACTCCTCCTTTGACCACTTGTCAGTCCCGTTCTTCTGAAAGAAACACAGGACGGCCCCCTTCGGCAGCAGCGAGCGAACTTTAGCCCACTTGTTGCTCATGTGATCCGTGATCTCCGACATTTTCTTGGTCGACGACAACTTCAGCTCTACCTTTGGTCTACAGCCGCATTGCACCATGTTCGACTTGGTTTCCTTGTCCCGCGGAACCATTCGCATCTTGATATAAAGTTTCTTTCGAGATTGCTGAGGCGTGTGGAATGCAACGCCATTTCGCGTACGCGATCGGGAACGCTTGTCGGTGGGAGGTGGGCTAGTGAACGTAATGTCTTCCACTTCCGCTCGGCGGGTCTTCTTAGAAGCTGGAGAACGGTCAGTAGACCCACTGCGCTTACGCTTAAGCACCGCTCCCCCTGGTGACTCACCATGTGGCTGTTGCACAGTTGGCAGAGACAACACCTTGGTGGCATTATCAGTGACCGAGGGGGAACTAGAGAGAGGCATTGCAGCAACCTTGCCCTGCGGAGCAGAGTGTTTCTTCCTCACCATGGGGTGGTGGATCTGCACTGATGAGATCTCAGGAGCTGGAACACTTCCTTTGGCGAAAAAGGAACTCAGGTTCGACCGCGACACCCAAGCTGAGATAGACGTAATACCAGGAGCCGCCGACTTGTCCTTATTGCCGGCTGCCGCGCTGTCTGCCTTGGCCTTGAGCATTTGACGGCGACTTCGAATAATTGACTGCAGCAGAGCGTTGGCCAAGCGAGGCTTCACTGTTGCGGGATCCGATTCGAGCGCTTGGAAACTAAACAAAGAGACAAGTTAGAACCGAGTAAATCTCACCACAGACTCGAAAATTTGACTTACTCGTCGTGGTGCTTCTCGTCAGCCACCAATTTGCGCCAACACCACACAGCAATGCGTACTTGATCCGGGTTGTTCAGGTCAATATCGTTTTCCACGACCTCGAGCATCTCGGCAATGTTCTGCATCACCGCAGTGTAAAACTGCCGCACCTCCATCACACTCTTCGTTCTCACCTTGGTGCTGATAGCGTCGAAGCGCTCCAGCAGCATCGAGCTGAATGCAGGAGCCTGCTTCCCCTCCGGTGTAGGCGGCCACTTGACCTTAAACATGGTGAAAAAGGTGTTCTGCTCCGACTCCTGCCACGACGGGCCCCTGGTCCTCGGTCGCTTCATGATAGCCACCTGTGCTGTCTCCACGTGTCCAACCGTCCTGCTGACCTGTCGGGGTGTCGTCACTGCGGGTGCTCTCCGCAAAGGAGAACTGGATGTTCTGCGAGTCCTAGGACTCTTCGAAAGCCTCCTCTGCATTCTTAGGGGGCTCATGGCCACTGTAGCGTCCGCAAAAGGCTCCAGAATGGGCGAGAGCTCCGTGTCGAATGAAAAATCCAATGCTGCGTCCAGTAGCTGCGCGTCGTGGTTCCCTAACTCCGCGTTAAGCACCGAATCTGCTGCTGTGTCCTGATCCCGTGTCTTCTCCGCTGTATTGGACGCCTCGACGGCGCTGTCCTGGGCCTTAGGAGTCGAAATGTCCGCGAACACGTCCATGATTGGCAGATTATTGAGCTGTTCGTCGTCCAGCCACGCTGTATGGAGTCCCGATAGGCTGTCGGCATCGAAAGAGTCTGCTGCGAGTACTGTTAGACCCTTAAACGCATGGAATTAGCTGCAAAATAGCGTTAAAACGCACCATGACTGAGTTCTGGGGCGAAATGATGGATGTCTTCCATGGCTAATAGTGCGGTCGGCATGGACTGTACGAGCGTCGGAGAAGCGCGAGAGCGAAGACGAGGTCGTGTAGAACAATGATCTGCCTGTTTACTGCGCTGTAGTGACCTGTAGCAGCGAGTGGAAGGCGCGCGCACTTCCCGCCGTTGCCGTCTTCCCGCTATTTGAGCTGTGATGATGAATGCGCGCGGACGCGTATTCTCGTACTTAAACGAGTGTGCGCGCCAAAATTTTTGAGTGGTTTGGAACGAGCCAATCATAGCCGAGATCGGATGGCGCCAAATTCAGTTCAGACTGGATGAGTGTGTGCACCACACCATATACGCACCTGATGTGCAGCTTCAACATGTGCCATTCTAAGACGCACCTGAATATAGTTGCGCTGATGGAACAGTAGCGCTGCTCGAGTCTCTTCGAGGCTCTTCGCGCACGAGGTCTCTCAGCCTTCTGCATGCCCAAGTCAAACTTGCGTTGCTCTCATTAGATTAGCCCCGTAGCAATTGCATCACGCGAGCCCACTAATCCATGCGCACAACTCTACCTCTGTTGACTTCCACAGCTAAATACTTCTGCTCTTTCTTTCAAGGTGCTACATGCCTCCGTCACTAAGAAATTGCAGAGTTATCTTGGATCTCAATATGTGAATTTTGCTTTTTCTCGTGCACTCTTCTTTACCAGAATTGTAGTGGTTTTACTGCAATTGTTTCCGGCCGGAGGAATTACTCGCCTCTTCCGGCAGCTCTATTGGTAACCAACTTGGTGCTGCTCAATGCGAAAGCTACTTTCCTCTTTCTGCAGGCTGCCCAATGCAAGAACTGCTTGCCTCCCCGACGGCAAGTGTGCGGTACACCATGTTTCTAACTCGTTTTTAGATGGCCGGGCTGTACCAATTGAAGCTCAAGGGCCATAGTGAAAGCCTCTCACTTCTCTTCCCAGCTGCAACTGGTACAGCTCCATATTTTGGGCTGAATCGCATTGGCCGAAAGGGCCACTTAAACGAGTGACCTGTGTACTTTAACAAGTGAGGTGGGCGTCCCTCTGTGCGAGTGGCCCTACCGCTGTATCCCGTAAAAGTGTATTTCTATAGTGCAATCCACAATGGCCGTGACAAACCATGAACTTAAGCCGGGGTAGTACCGTACTTTGCTGAAAAAATATTCAAAAGTAAATGGCTTCAAAGCGAGATTCAATTGAGAGGTGGAATTTCTGAATCTGCCAATTCTCTAAGCGGATAGCTTAGAGCCAGCGTCATTTCTTGTCAGACCATCAGTTTAATACATTCGGTACATTTTAATATGAACTAGAGTATCCAAAATCTCATGGTATTACCGGTATAAAGCAGCGCAGCGTCCGGATCGATAGTTTTGACGTGGTTTTGGATTTGGAATAAAACTTAAGCAAAACAAAATGTGCGGTTTAATTCACACCCTCGATTAGATGGGCGTGATGTTTGCTGCAGCAAGAACCTAAGTAAAGCAATATGAACGCATGGCGCAGCGAAATTAGCGCCAATTTGCACCGCGTACTTTATAACTGCAGTAATGTGTAAACTGCAGATGTAGTTCGTAAAAATAGAGGTATTTTACTAGGTGCGGCTCGCGAAGAAGTCTCGTTGGATGACATTATACTGGGTTGCAACAACTCACGCACCATGGAGTACTGTAGACCTTGACAGTTTTCTTCCTGATCGTGGGGTGAGCAAAAAAAAGATAGTAACAGAAATAGCGATAACAATATCAGTTTCAAAGTCAGTAACTAATAGCGGTTGCAGTAGCGGTGGCATTGACAGTAGGGCAGTTGCAGTGGTAGCTGGCAGTGATCGTGACGCAGGCGAACAATTCCAATAGCAATATACCGAATAAAAATTATTGTGCCTTTCACTTATTCTGCCGTGATAATTCTGGCATAACTCTAATCCGTTATCGACCTTAATTATGCCCCGAGTTAGCTAATTCCCATGTTAATTCCGGGTCGTCCCTCCGTGGCCGAATTAGGAGCGGCGATGGTGAGGCCGACTCAAGGCGGAATAAGCTAATCCAGCCTTCGTTATTAATAGGCGGAAACAGAGCGATTGGCGGTTTCCTATCCGCCAATCCATGCCATTCTGTTCGTATCTCCGTCGATTAGCTGATCGCGGATGTTAGGGGAAGCGCTCACAATCTTAGGCATAATTAGCACTAAATAAGCGTTGATCACTCTTTATGACTCTAATTCCGCCTGAATTAACAGCTCACCCGCCAAAATACGTGAAAGACACAATACGTCATACTGATTTTACTTACGCAGCAATACAAGTCACACACATTATTTGGAAAAGAGGAGAGTGATTTACAAGGGTCTAGAGGACGATAAGATCATCGATAATGTTTGGATCGCGTCGTTTTCACCACGGTGGACGGCGATATTCAGATGGCATCTACTTATAAATTTAGTTTGAGCAAGCCATGAATTGCCCCGTGATATTATACAGCAAGTCAAGCAGTATGGAGTAGATTTTGGCAGTCTTTCTCAGGCATGAAAAAGAAAGCAGGAGCAATATCATTACAGTGCCATTATCAATGCTGGAGATCGTAGTTGTAGCGTAAATAACAACGGTAGCGGTAGTGGCAGCAGATAATAAACAGTCGCAGTAGCGATAGCAGCAGATACGAACAAGCAATATCAATGACAACATTACTATGACATCATTAACAGTAGTGAAATAGTAGCTGTAGTACAGCTGCTCCAGCTGTGTGGCAGTAGCAGTTACAGTAGCAGCCGTAGTAGCTGTAGCATGGCAGTGGTGGCGACAGTAGCAGTTGCAATAATACCAATTGCAGCAGGACCCCTCCAATTCAATATTATATTGAATTGGTAAAATTGCTTGACAGTAATAATGATTTAAATATGACGATAACCAAAGCGAATTATTATACTGATTAAATATTTCAATTCCATGCGCCTTGACAGTGTTTTTGAATACCCTGAAATCATACGAGCCAATAATACAAATTTCAATATGGCGCTTGCCAATAACACATATTTTCGTCATATTAATTGACAATTTTCATATTGAAATTTTTTATTCATACCCCTGGTCAACATCAATTATAATAGTATGAAAATTTAAGTTTCTTGTAGTAATATGAAGCGTTTCATGTATAGTACTCACAAAAATATTGGTGATAATGTTAATAACAGTAACAAGTGCAGACTGGCGCTGAGGCGCGGCGCGTCCTAACCGTTTTAGTAGCAAAAAACACAAAATTGTTCGGTCCGCTTAGAGACCCGCACGCGAAGCGCACCCTGTTCACAAATATGAAGGGTCGTCCCATGGAAGTCTTCCGTACGGGCAGAGTATACACATACCAAGACAACGAAAGAAACAGTATAAAACATTTCCATATTTAGTGGCCCAGATTTCACAAATATGTTTAAAACACCTCCAAGCTGAAGCAGGGCACGTTCAGAAACGAAAAGTGAGCGGTACACTCTCAGCCCTTCAGGCTGAGAGTCGGCAACATGTACTATTGTTGATCACACCACAACCTCTGTACTGAGCTATAGCTAGCTAGCCACCACACCTTCGTCTTGCTTTACTTATCTAAAGACAGACGCTGTATTTACTACTCACCGCCATTCAACCTACAAGTACTGCTTGCGCAGCGCAAGTACGTGCGGCTCCGGGTCCGTCACGAGCTGGGCGCGGAAGTCGGCAATAGCATCGATCTTCTCGCGGACCTCGGGCGTGATCTTGTCCGCGAACTCGAGCGCCTTGAGGTTCTCGTCCAGTTGCTTGATGCTCGTGGCGCCAAGGATCACCGTGGACACGTGCGGGTTGGACGCCACCCAGGCAATGGCCAGTTGCGCCATGGAGCAGCCAAGTTCGTTGGCAATCTCTGTAAGCTTCACCACCTTTGCGATCTTCTCCTCCAGCCCGTTCGAGAGCAGGTTCTTGTACAGCGGAATGGACAAGCGCGAGCCCTCCGGGATACCGTTGCTGTACTTGCCAGTCAGGATACCCGATGCCAGCGGCGACCACGTGGTGAGGCCGTAGTCGTACTTCTTGTACAGCACGTCGAAATCGTACTCGACGCGCGAGCGCTCCAGAATATGGTACTGCGGCTGGTCAAACACCTGCAGCGACATCAGATAACAACATGATCGTTGGTCTCCGATGAGTCCCGGCAACCTTTTAATTAATTGAGCGTACCGGACGGATCAGACCAAGACGGTCTGCGATCTCGCAGGCCTCGATAATTTCCTGGGCTGTCCACTCGCTAGTGCCCCAGTAGAAGGCCCAGCCTTGTTCGATCACGAAGTTCATCGCACAGACCTGCAACCAAACACCAACTAGGTTAGCCCACCGGCAGATCCCAGGCCAACTTGCTGGAACGTACCGTTTCCTCCATGGGGGTGAACGGATCAGCGCGGTGGCAGAAGACGAGATCCACATAGTCCAGGTCGAAGCGCTTGAGGGATGCCTTCATGCCCTCCACAATGTGCTTGTGGCTGTTGCCGCCCTGGTTCGGGCCCGGCTTGGTGCCGAAGAAGAGCTTGGTGCTGATCACCAGGTCCTCGCGGCTCCAGGCACCACGTTCAATGCCAGCCTTGACCACCTTACCCATAACGAGCTCGGAGCGACCGTTCTCGTAGACCTCAGCGTTGTCGAAGAAGTTGATGCCTTGCTTGTACGCGTGCTCCATGATGGTGTAGGCCTTCTCGAAGCCGAGCTGCTGGTCGAAGGTCACCCAACTGCCGAACGACAAGCGGGAGACCAACAGACCCGAGTTGCCCAGGAAGCGATACTTCATGTTATGCGAGGAGGTGGTGCTCATGGTTCGGGGAACGAGATGCTGTTGCTGCTGCTGCTACTTCGGCGGTAAATCGAGTTATGACGGCCGGAACGGCACTCGTGGTCGAGTCTGACGTAGCTGAAGCAGCGGGACCCCAGCGCCAGAATGCCGGGATGCTTAAAGGTGGAACCATGGTCTCTCTGCACGAGGACGAATCCAAGGCGACGTGGGGCTGGTGCCGCCAGGGCAAACGGAGACTGGTTCGTGCGGCATCTTGTCGATTGAAGACGGCACGAACACTGGCTGATCCTGGCGGTGCAAAGCTCGGGCATGGAATGCATAGACAGGAAAGGTGTCGCCACCGAATTGTAAGCACTCCGGTTGACGTTGACCCCCCCCCCCCCCCACACGCACAATTAACCACGACAACCATCTACATGTACCTAGCCACCTAAAGTATTTGACTCGTAAGGCTACGCTAGCAATAATACCCACTCAAAAGTTATCCTTAGGACTACCACTTGATGATCAAGTGGTGAAGTTTGCCGGGGCCGTACACACATCAAGCTGATGTGTGTACAAACTTGAATCGGTAGTACCTGTACACACATCAAGTATTACATGTAGTGCTGCTGATGCGGACACCCGAACTTGCAGCCTGCAAGGCTCAGGGCAAACGCGACGGTAATGTTGAGTCAGTCAGTCTAAAATGAAAGAGCCAACCAATTCGAAGTGCAGCACGAAAGAATACCTGTGATCTGCGGTGGGCTGCGTTACATGGTAGCAGCAAGGGGGTTATTCACACGAAGCTCGCCCTTTGTTGTTATACCAGGTTACACCGGCACACCATGGCGCCTGCTGCTTTCATGATTGCAAAAACTTTCTCACGTCACATTTGCGCTTTGGCTAGCCGCTACACCACCACGTTCGAGCGCTTCACGTGCCATGACATCGCCACCTTTGCGAACACGACGCCCGGGGCAGGCACGAGTGGCAAAGGTAAACAATATTGGCAGCGGTTGCCGACCAACTCGAATGCTTTGTACTACAACCTGTCTACAAAGTTTGTAGACAGGATCATATCATACCGGAGACTGTGAAGACACAAGCTGTGTCTACCTCAAATTGAAGATTGGTCCACTTTGGATACTTTTATCGTATCCGTCCACGCGATTGGCTGATGACACGCATACAAAATCCAAGTGCAGTCTGACTGCTGATCAATGGGCGGCTTCGTCAGAAGCCATCACTGTTGAATCTTCCCCCAAGAGCTCAAGTCGCAGACAGCAAACACCCCTCGCCTCTCCTCGCCACGATGGCCGCCCCCACGCACAACATGAAGTACCGCTTCCTGGGCAACACCGGCCTGCTGGTGTCCCGCCTGTCGTTCGGCAGCTGGGTGACCTTCGACACGCAGCTCGACTTCGAGAAGGCCTACAGCATCATGGAGCACGCGTACAAGAACGGCGTCAACTTCTTCGACAACGCCGAGGTGTACGCCAACGGCCAGTCGGAGCTCATCATGGGCAAGGTGGTGAAGGCCGGCATCGAGCGCAAGCTCTGGAGCCGCGAGGACCTGGTGATCAGCACCAAGCTCTTCTTCGGCACCAAGTCCGGCCCCAACGACGTGGGCAACAGCCGCAAGCACATCGTGGAGGGCATGAAGGCGTCGCTCAAGCGCTTCGACCTGGACTACGTCGACCTGGTCTTCTGCCACCGCCCCGACCCGTCCACGCCCATCGAGGAGACCGTGCGCGCCATGAACTTCGTCATCGAGCAGGGCTGGGCCTTCTACTGGGGCACCAGTGAGTGGTGCGCCAAGGACATCATCGAGGCCTGTGAGATTGCCGACCGCCTCGGCCTGATCCGCCCCGTGTACGACCAGCCGCAGTACCACATCCTCGAGCGGTCGCGCGTCGAGTACGACTTCGACGTGCTGTACAAGAAGTACAACTACGGCCTCACCACGTGGTCGCCGCTGGCGTCCGGTGTTCTCACGGGCAAGTACAGCAAGGGCATCCCGGAGGGCTCGCGTCTGTCGATGCCGTCGTACAAGCAGATGCTGTCGAACGGCCTCGAGGAGAAGATTGCCAAGGCGGACAAGCTCGCCGAGGTGGCCAAGGAGGTGGGCTGCTCGCTGGCGCAGCTGTCGATCGCCTGGGTGGCCGCCAACCCGCATGTGTCTACGGTGATCCTTGGTGCCACGAGCATCAAGCAGCTGGACGAGAACCTCAAGGCTCTTGAGTACGTGGACAAGATCACGCCCGAGGTCCGCGGGAAGATCGACGCTATCGCTGACTTCCGACCCAAGGTTGTGCCCCAGGCTGAGCCGTTCGTGATTAACCTGCGCCAGAAGTGGCTGTAAGTGTCGTTTCCAGTCGTGTCCATCGGGTTGCGCAGTACTGAGCAGTGTGAAACCCCAAGCTTAGATGAACACACTTAAGCCCAGCGGTTCATCTGCATCGAAGAAACAAAGAATTGTTGTGTGCACAAGTAGGTTGTGGCTTGCAAGTCAGTAAACTTGTACTAAGTCAAAAAGATAAACAAACTGCCTTGAAAAGCAACGTTTTCCTCTACTGTCCCTCTTCCCGATAAACGTCTTGAAGAAGCGGTTCATTCCTCGACTCACCTACAGTAGTCAAGAACAGCATGAGTCAAACCCACGTGTTTGTCTGTACTTTCGTCAAGGACGAAGAGCCCAAAGCGACGGACAGCACAAGCCGCTGCAAGGCAGCAAGCGTGTCAGCTTGTGCCAGGCGACGGTCGACAGACGTAGCACTGCAGTTTGAATGTGATCTACCGGGCTGTCCTGCGCAGTAGCTCCATTGTTTTGCACTGGAGTCGTCGAGGCTCGAGCCAGGGCTATCCTACCCACCTAGAAGTACTATCTACTCACGAGGCTCTGCTGGAAGATCGCTACGCAGACGCGCTTGAAGTAAATCCCAAGCAGCGTCCTGCGTAGGTGGCGAGCATCATACCAAATTTACATGTTCTACCCACAAGGCGAGCGCTGCAACTTCGGCCTTACACGCACCGCACGTTGACGTTTCGAATAGCTCGGCCGTATCCTGCATTACCCAGCAACGGTAATGAAAGGGATTGGCCATCCTGCACGCGTGACGGGGTCGACTAGATCCGATCGACTCGCCGAGCCTTGCGGATACAGCGTTGAACGCTTCCGGAGCTCGACAATCGATAGGCGGTCTCCCTACCAGGAAGTTCCTGTCAGGCTAAACGCTGATCCAGCATACTACGATTACAGCCTTCTGCTTGTAGCTATCACAACAGCAATTGATCTATCCGCACGATGAAAGCATGGCCCTGCATCTCGTTTCAGTAGAATACGCAGTCGCTTTGGACCTACCCACACGAGCGTTAACACGCAACCACCATTTCCTATAACCATGTTTCGCGTTTATTAGACTGAATACAATGCGCAGCGATAGCGGCCACCCCAACTTTACGACAACTACACTGCTGGACATGCACACATGCACAAGCGCACACGAGCGCCTCATACTTACTTGCTTACTTGCTTGCTTCGCGAGCTGGCCTCTCTTGTAACTTGCTCTCATCGCCACCGACGTAGTAGTAGTACTGGTGGTGGTGGTGATCGTCGTCGTCGTCGCTGTCTACGCGCCGGGCACGGGCGAGCTCTTCTTGAGCTTGAGCGCCGCCTGCGCCGCCGCGAGTCGGGCGATCATCACGCGCATCGGCGAGCACGACACGTACTTGAGGCCCACCTTCTCGAAGAACTCGATGGACTGCGGGTCGCCGCCGTGCTCGCCGCAGATGCCCAGCTCGATCTTGGGGCGCGTCGCGCGGCCGCGCTCCACGGCCAGGCGCACCAGCTCGCCCACGCCCTCCTGGTCCAGCGTCTCGAACGGGTCCTTCTCCAGCACGCCGTGCTTCACGTAGTAGGACAGGAACTTGGCCTGCGCGTCGTCGCGCGAGATGCCGAACGTCATCTGCGTCAGGTCGTTCGTTCCGAACGAGAAGAACTCGGCCACCTCGGCCAGCTTGCCGGCCTGCAGCGCGCCGCGCGGCACCTCGATCATCGTGCCCACCTTGTAGTCGAACGACTTGCCGCGCTTGCCGATCACGTCCTGCACCACCGACTTGACCAGCTTCACCTGCTGCTCCAGCTCCTCGAACGAGCCCACCAGCGGGATCATGATGTGCGGGTGCACCGAGATGCCCTCGCCGGCCACCTTCACGGCCGCCTCCGCGATGGCCTTGGCCTGCATCTCCGTGATGCCCGGGTGTACGATGCCCAGACGGCAGCCGCGCAGACCCATCATCGGGTTCGCCTCCTTCAGGCCGGCCAGGCGCGACTGCACCGTCGCCTTGCTCACCTTCATCTCCTTGGACAGCGTCTCGCACAGCTCGTCCAGCGCGCTACCCTCGTGCGGCAGGAACTCGTGCAGCGGCGGGTCCAGCATACGGATGGTCACCGGGAGGCCGTCCATGGCGCGGAAGATGCCTTCGAAGTCGCCCTGCTGGAACGTGCACAGCGCGTCGAGCGCCTCCTGCTGCGCCGGCGAGTCCAGCTCCACGGCGCCGATCATGCGTCGCACGGCGGCGATACGCTGCGCGGAGCTGAAGAACATGTGCTCCGTGCGCGTGAGGCCGATGCCCTGCGCGCCGTGGGCGCGAGCCTCGCGGGCGTCCTCGGGCGTGTCGGCGTTCGTGAACACCTCCATGCGGCGGTGCGCGTCCACCCACTTCATGAACTGCGCCAGGTCGCCGCTCATGGCAGCCTTCTGCAGCTCCTGCTCGCCCTTGATCACCTCGCCCGACGTGCCGTTCACGCTGATGTAGTCGCCCTCGCGCAGCACCACCTCGGCGCCGCTCGACGTGTGCACGCGCATCGTCTTGCTGTTGGCGTCGATGGACAGCGCGCTGCAGCCGCACACGCACGGCTTGCCCCAGCCGCGGGCCACCACGGCAGCGTGCGACGTCATGCCGCCGCGAGACGTGAGGATGCCCTCGGCCGCGTGCATGCCGCCCACGTCCTCGGGCGACGTCTCCTCGCGCACCAGCATGACGTTCTCGCCGCGCGCGAACCACGCCTCCGCGTCGGCCGCCGTGAACACGATCTTGCCCACGGCCGCGCCCGGAGACGCCGGCAGGCCTCGGCACAGCACGTCCTTCTGGTACCCCTTCTCGTTGGCGAAGCTCGGGTGCAGCAGCTGGTCCAGGTGGCGCGGCTCCACGAGCATCACGGCCTCTTCCTCCGTGATCAGCTTCTCGCGCCACATGTCCACGGCGATCTTCAGAGCGGCGGGGCCCGTGCGCTTGCCGTTGCGCGTCTGCAGCATGAACAGCACGCCGTCCTGCACCGTGAACTCCGTGTCCTGCACGTCCTTGAAGTGCGTCTCCAGCGTGTGCACGGTCTCGTCGAGCTGCTTGTACACGGTCGGCATCTTCTGCGCCAGCTCCGAGATGGGCTGCGGCGTGCGGATGCCCGCCACCACGTCCTCGCCCTGCGCGTTCAGCAGGAACTCGCCGTACAGCTTGTTCTCGCCGTTGGCCGGGTTACGCGTGAACAGCACGCCCGTGCACGACTGGTCGTTGATGTTGCCGTACACCATGGCCTGCACGTTCACGGCCGTGCCCTTGAGGCCCGTGATCATGTTGATCTCGCGGTACTTGACAGCGCGCGGGATGTTCCACGAGCGGAACACGGCCTCGATGCCCATGCGCATTTGCTCCCACGGGTCCGACGGGAACGAGCGGCCGTGCCTCTCGTACACCTTCTTGTACTTCTGCACCAGCTCCTTCAGGTCGCTGGCCGTCAGCTCCACGTCGAACGTCACGTGGCGCGCCTGCTTCATGGCCGACAGCTCGGCCTCGAAGTCGTCGTGCGGGATCTCGAGCACCACGTCGCCGAACATCTGCAACAGACGCCGGTAGCAGTCGAACGCGAAGCGCTCGCCGCCGCGCTTGGCCACGCCCTGGACGATCTCGTCGTTCAGACCGAGGTTCAGCACCGTGTCCATCATGCCGGGCATCGAGATGGCCGCGCCGGAGCGCACCGACACCAGCAGCGGATTGGCCGCGTCGGCGAACGTCACGCCCAGCGCCTTCTCCATGAGGCGCACGCCCTGGCGCACCTCGTCCATGAGGCCGTCCGGCAGGCGCCCGCCCACCGCGTAGAATTCTTGGCACACCTCCGTCGTGATGGTCAGTCCGGGCGGCACGTTCACGCCGTTGCGCGCCATCTGGCACAGGTTGGCGCCCTTGCCGCCCAGCAGCGGCTTCATGCTGCCGTCGCCCTTGCTCTCGCCCTTCACGAACGTGAAGACGCGCGGGTGCTGCAGCACTTGACTCATGCTTGAGCGGGGGGGGGGGGGGGGGGGGTTGCTCTGTTGCTTGTTCTTGGTTGGGTTAGTTGAGGAATGAGCCTTGTCCCGAACTCGGTCTGCTCGGCTGCGGGCCTGCTGGCCGATTGCCACGATGCCCCGGGACCTGCTGACGCGTGAGAGAGACGCGAGTCGGGTTGGTTGCTTGGCGGCGGCCTTCGAAGATTTGGTTCGCAGTAACTGCTCCGGCGTGTCAATCTTGGTGCTCGGACCTAGATGGACGCGGATCGGCTGCGTGATGTCGACTTCGGCCTAAGTCGACGGGCCTGGTCTATGCTGCAGCGTTGAAGATACTTCTCCAGGTTGAAGTGGCGTAGACGAGGCGTTATCAGGGCGCCTTGTCTATATCGCGACTACCGCATTTCAATTAGAAACGAATCGCTCCGATTTAGAAACGAGGCTTTCCGGTGGTTGACAGCGCGCATCACGCTGGGCTACCATGCCACCAAGGCTGGGCAGGATTCGACTTGCAAGCGTTGTGGTCGAGAGAGGGCCACAAGGCGCCGCGCCCGAGCTCCGCGAGCGCGCGGGGCGCAGAGACGCCTCCGAGCGTGGATTCATCGCATACTAACCGTATTGCAATTTTTGATGCGCGCGTGTCTGGCTGGGTCAGGGCTGCTCCGATTTTCGAAGCCTAACGCGGGCGGCCTCCGACCAAGCGGCGATGTGGCTTTCATACGACTGTACGTGGCGTGCTGCAGCTCAGCCAGGGCCTTGCCTTGGTACCGGAGGCACCAGTGATGCGGGCTGCAGTCGGCAGCTAGTGCAGAGACCTCTGCCGCTATGTGAAGGTTGGGGCTGGTGTGGTGACTCCCTTCGGAGTAAGGCTAGTGCCATGATATGAACAGCAGCTCGAGCTACCATGCCGCGAGACAACGGGTGGATCATCATACAGGCCGTTGTAGCCTCTGAGGTGGCTGGCTTGTGTCGGCGGATACGCGTGCGTGGCGACAGCCATGCCGATGCCCCCATGCCAAGCACCGTTGCTGATTGCTCAAGGCTGTGTTGACCTTTGTGTTGCTCGTACGACTTGCTTGTTGAAGTGCGTCCTGCGCAGAGAGACGCGCAGCGAAAACCTACATACCGGCAGAGAATCGTGGTTAGCTTGACTTAAGTCGACATGCACGCCGTCGACTTAGCGGCCGTGTGCTTTGCTGCTTGAACTCGGCGTATCTGCACATCTACTAGATGTAAATGCCATCTAGCTTTCAGATCGATGCTTGGAGAATGCGGCATGCTAAGAAGTCATTTCAAGGCGTCATGCCGCAGTGCCCATGTCGGCAACACCACCAACTTACCTATCTCATCGAAGTCTTGACATGATCAAGTGCATTTGTCTCCAAATGTTACGACTAGCTAAAGCTTCACTCACTACTCACTTTCCTCTCGTTCCTCCTCCCGACAAGCGTCTAGAAGAAGCGGTTCATTCCTCAACTCACCTAGTCAAGAACGGCATGAGTCAAGCGATCCAGCACCCACGTGTCCGTTTGTACTTTCGTCAAGGACGAAGAGCCCAAAGTGACGGACAGCACAAGCCGCTGCCAGGCAGCAAGCGTGTCAACTTGTGCCGTGTGGGTGGCGCGCCATGGTGTCACTCCTCTGGATTGGCCAGCACCCCGGGGGTGTGCCAAGAATTCTGCGTGGTGGGCGGACACCTGCCCAACGACTTGATGGTCGAGGCCAGGCAGAACGCCGGTCTCACAGGAGAGAGACGCAGTGCGAGTCAGCGCTAGGCGGCGCAAGGGTGCACGGTGCGCGTGGCCGACGCGATTGCGGATGAAATGGACACGGTGTTAACTTGAGTCTGAACGCCAAGGCCGTCCAGCGCGTGGCGTCGTGCAGATCTTCACCGCCGCTGCGTTCGTGACGCCAACTGAAGACGGAGCTCTGCTGTCTTTTGTCGCCGCCCAGCGTGATCCGGATGAAGTGGCGCAGGGGTCAGGACAATGCAGCAGGTCGCCGCGGACACTTGGGCGCGAGGTCTGAGCGTAGAGGACGGAGACACGGGGCCACCTTGACTCAGCTTCTGCGTCACCGAGGCGAGACGATGCTTGACGCCGTCGCAGAGGTGCTTGGTTCTCTCGCGCCGAGAGTGCCGCGACGACCTGCGCAAGACAGCCGGGGTGCGAATATGAGGCTGCGCGACGGCTCAAGATCCCGGAGCGGCCAGCTTGGCACTATGCTAAGTCGACACAGGCTCCGCAAAAACACGCTGCGGCCGAACTTCAACAAATCGATTTCTAAAGGGGAAACTTAGAAACGAGCTTTCCGACGGTCGGCAGAAGTCTCAGTAGCGCTGTAGTTTGAAGCGATGTGTTCTACCAGACGTCCCTGTTCAGTAGCTTCATTTGCTGGCACTGGGATCATCGATGCTTGAGTCATGGCTATTCTATTGCGAGACTCTGCTGGAAGATCGCTACGCAGACGCGCTTGAAGTAAATCCCAAGCAGCGTCCTGCGTAGGTGGCGAGCATCATACCAAATTTACATGTTCTACCCACAAGGCGAGCGCTGCAACTTCGGCCTTACACGCACCGCACGTTGACGTTTCGAATAGCTCGGCCGTATCCTGCATTACCCAGCAACGGTAATGAAAGGGATTGGCCATCCTGCACGCGTGACGGGGTCGACTCGATCCGATCGACTCGCCGAGCCTTGCGGATACAGCGTTGAACGCTTCCGGAGCTCGACAATCGATAGGCGGTCTCCCTGTCAGGCTAAACGCTGATCCAGCATACTACGATTACAGCCTTCTGCTTGTAGCTATCACAACAGCAATTGATCTATCCGCACGATGAAAGCATGGCCCTGCATCTCGTTTCAGTAGAATACGCAGTCGCTTTGGACCTACCCACACGAGCGTTAACACGCAACCACCATTTCCTATAACCATGTTTCGCGTTTATTAGACTGAATACAATGCGCAGCGATAGCGGCCACCCCAACTTTACGACAACTACACTGCTGGACATGCACACATGCACAAGCGCACACGAGCGCCTCATACTTACTTGCTTACTTGCTTGCTTCGCGAGCTGGCCTCTCTTGTAACTTGCTCTCATCGCCACCGACGTAGTAGTAGTACTGGTGGTGGTGGTGATCGTCGTCGTCGTCGCTGTCTACGCGCCGGGCACGGGCGAGCTCTTCTTGAGCTTGAGCGCCGCCTGCGCCGCCGCGAGTCGGGCGATCATCACGCGCATCGGCGAGCACGACACGTACTTGAGGCCCACCTTCTCGAAGAACTCGATGGACTGCGGGTCGCCGCCGTGCTCGCCGCAGATGCCCAGCTCGATCTTGGGGCGCGTCGCGCGGCCGCGCTCCACGGCCAGGCGCACCAGCTCGCCCACGCCCTCCTGGTCCAGCGTCTCGAACGGGTCCTTCTCCAGCACGCCGTGCTTCACGTAGTAGGACAGGAACTTGGCCTGCGCGTCGTCGCGCGAGATGCCGAACGTCATCTGCGTCAGGTCGTTCGTTCCGAACGAGAAGAACTCGGCCACCTCGGCCAGCTTGCCGGCCTGCAGCGCGCCGCGCGGCACCTCGATCATCGTGCCCACCTTGTAGTCGAACGACTTGCCGCGCTTGCCGATCACGTCCTGCACCACCGACTTGACCAGCTTCACCTGCTGCTCCAGCTCCTCGAACGAGCCCACCAGCGGGATCATGATGTGCGGGTGCACCGAGATGCCCTCGCCGGCCACCTTCACGGCCGCCTCCGCGATGGCCTTGGCCTGCATCTCCGTGATGCCCGGGTGTACGATGCCCAGACGGCAGCCGCGCAGACCCATCATCGGGTTCGCCTCCTTCAGGCCGGCCAGGCGCGACTGCACCGTCGCCTTGCTCACCTTCATCTCCTTGGACAGCGTCTCGCACAGCTCGTCCAGCGCGCTACCCTCGTGCGGCAGGAACTCGTGCAGCGGCGGGTCCAGCATACGGATGGTCACCGGGAGGCCGTCCATGGCGCGGAAGATGCCTTCGAAGTCGCCCTGCTGGAACGTGCACAGCGCGTCGAGCGCCTCCTGCTGCGCCGGCGAGTCCAGCTCCACGGCGCCGATCATGCGTCGCACGGCGGCGATACGCTGCGCGGAGCTGAAGAACATGTGCTCCGTGCGCGTGAGGCCGATGCCCTGCGCGCCGTGGGCGCGAGCCTCGCGGGCGTCCTCGGGCGTGTCGGCGTTCGTGAACACCTCCATGCGGCGGTGCGCGTCCACCCACTTCATGAACTGCGCCAGGTCGCCGCTCATGGCAGCCTTCTGCAGCTCCTGCTCGCCCTTGATCACCTCGCCCGACGTGCCGTTCACGCTGATGTAGTCGCCCTCGCGCAGCACCACCTCGGCGCCGCTCGACGTGTGCACGCGCATCGTCTTGCTGTTGGCGTCGATGGACAGCGCGCTGCAGCCGCACACGCACGGCTTGCCCCAGCCGCGGGCCACCACGGCAGCGTGCGACGTCATGCCGCCGCGAGACGTGAGGATGCCCTCGGCCGCGTGCATGCCGCCCACGTCCTCGGGCGACGTCTCCTCGCGCACCAGCATGACGTTCTCGCCGCGCGCGAACCACGCCTCCGCGTCGGCCGCCGTGAACACGATCTTGCCCACGGCCGCGCCCGGAGACGCCGGCAGGCCTCGGCACAGCACGTCCTTCTGGTACCCCTTCTCGTTGGCGAAGCTCGGGTGCAGCAGCTGGTCCAGGTGGCGCGGCTCCACGAGCATCACGGCCTCTTCCTCCGTGATCAGCTTCTCGCGCCACATGTCCACGGCGATCTTCAGAGCGGCGGGGCCCGTGCGCTTGCCGTTGCGCGTCTGCAGCATGAACAGCACGCCGTCCTGCACCGTGAACTCCGTGTCCTGCACGTCCTTGAAGTGCGTCTCCAGCGTGTGCACGGTCTCGTCGAGCTGCTTGTACACGGTCGGCATCTTCTGCGCCAGCTCCGAGATGGGCTGCGGCGTGCGGATGCCCGCCACCACGTCCTCGCCCTGCGCGTTCAGCAGGAACTCGCCGTACAGCTTGTTCTCGCCGTTGGCCGGGTTACGCGTGAACAGCACGCCCGTGCACGACTGGTCGTTGATGTTGCCGTACACCATGGCCTGCACGTTCACGGCCGTGCCCTTGAGGCCCGTGATCTTGTTGATCTCGCGGTACTTGACAGCGCGCGGGATGTTCCACGAGCGGAACACGGCCTCGATGCCCATGCGCATTTGCTCCCACGGGTCCGACGGGAACGAGCGGCCGTGCCTCTCGTACACCTTCTTGTACTTCTGCACCAGCTCCTTCAGGTCGCTGGCCGTCAGCTCCACGTCGAACGTCACGTGGCGCGCCTGCTTCATGGCCGACAGCTCGGCCTCGAAGTCGTCGTGCGGGATCTCGAGCACCACGTCGCCGAACATCTGCAACAGACGCCGGTAGCAGTCGAACGCGAAGCGCTCGCCGCCGCGCTTGGCCACGCCCTGGACGATCTCGTCGTTCAGACCGAGGTTCAGCACCGTGTCCATCATGCCGGGCATCGAGATGGCCGCGCCGGAGCGCACCGACACCAGCAGCGGATTGGCCGCGTCGGCGAACGTCACGCCCAGCGCCTTCTCCATGAGGCGCACGCCCTGGCGCACCTCGTCCATGAGGCCGTCCGGCAGGCGCCCGCCCACCGCGTAGAATTCTTGGCACACCTCCGTCGTGATGGTCAGTCCGGGCGGCACGTTCACGCCGTTGCGCGCCATCTGGCACAGGTTGGCGCCCTTGCCGCCCAGCAGCGGCTTCATGCTGCCGTCGCCCTTGCTCTCGCCCTTCACGAACGTGAAGACGCGCGGGTGCTGCAGCACTTGACTCATGCTTGAGCGGGGGGGGGGGGGGGTTGCTTTGTTGCTTGTTCTTGGTTGGGTTAGTTGAGGAATGAGCCTTGTCCCGAACTCGGTCTGCTCGGCTGCGGGCCTGCGGGCCTGCTGGCCGATTGCCTTGCAGTCAAGATGATCAGGCCGTTGGACCTCGCGTGCGAATCGCGTGTTGACTGGCACGCGTTCCAACGGATACCCATGGCCTGTCGCCACCATGCTGGATTGTTGGTGATTGCTAAAGGCTGTGGAAGGGAGCCGCAGCACCCGATTTACGTATGCTAGGTGTTCATGAGAGGAAGTCTTCCACGTTGAAGTCTGTCCTGCACAGAGAGACGCATCACCTACGTACCGGCGGAGCAGCTTTCTAGCTTCGCTAAGTCGACATCCAGGCATCGACTTAGCGGCCTGCTACATAGACATGAGAAGCGTAGACGAGTCCATTTCTATAGAAAGGTTCCTCCAGTTTCTACTTACAAACGACATAATACTGCTCTATTTGTTTTGATGTATCCATTTCTAACCGTTAAGAAATATAGAGATCATATCTTTGTGCACAACCTTGAGAAGTTCCATATGACAACGCATCGTAACGGAATCCCCTTCAAGTTGACCTATGATGCCTCGGTAGCTACTTTCATAGAACGTTGGCAGTGACGACAGCAGAAAGTATCCAACAACAGCAAAACACTGCGTCGCGATGGCCGTCGACCAGCAGGCCCGCAGCCGAGCAGACCGAGTTCGGGACAAGGCTCATTCCTCAACTAACCCAACCAAGAACAAGCAACAAAGCAACCCCCCCCCCCCGCTCAAGCATGAGTCAAGTGCTGCAGCACCCGCGCGTCTTCACGTTCGTGAAGGGCGAGAGCAAGGGCGACGGCAGCATGAAGCCGCTGCTGGGCGGCAAGGGCGCCAACCTGTGCCAGATGGCGCGCAACGGCGTGAACGTGCCGCCCGGACTGACCATCACGACGGAGGTGTGCCAAGAATTCTACGCGGTGGGCGGGCGCCTGCCGGACGGCCTCATGGACGAGGTGCGCCAGGGCGTGCGCCTCATGGAGAAGGCGCTGGGCGTGACGTTCGCCGACGCGGCCAATCCGCTGCTGGTGTCGGTGCGCTCCGGCGCGGCCATCTCGATGCCCGGCATGATGGACACGGTGCTGAACCTCGGTCTGAACGACGAGATCGTCCAGGGCGTGGCCAAGCGCGGCGGCGAGCGCTTCGCGTTCGACTGCTACCGGCGTCTGTTGCAGATGTTCGGCGACGTGGTGCTCGAGATCCCGCACGACGACTTCGAGGCCGAGCTGTCGGCCATGAAGCAGGCGCGCCACGTGACGTTCGACGTGGAGCTGACGGCCAGCGACCTGAAGGAGCTGGTGCAGAAGTACAAGAAGGTGTACGAGAGGCACGGCCGCTCGTTCCCGTCGGACCCGTGGGAGCAAATGCGCATGGGCATCGAGGCCGTGTTCCGCTCGTGGAACATCCCGCGCGCTGTCAAGTACCGCGAGATCAACATGATCACGGGCCTCAAGGGCACGGCCGTGAACGTGCAGGCCATGGTGTACGGCAACATCAACGACCAGTCGTGCACGGGCGTGCTGTTCACGCGTAACCCGGCCAACGGCGAGAACAAGCTGTACGGCGAGTTCCTGCTGAACGCGCAGGGCGAGGACGTGGTGGCGGGCATCCGCACGCCGCAGCCCATCTCGGAGCTGGCGCAGAAGATGCCGACCGTGTACAAGCAGCTCGACGAGACCGTGCACACGCTGGAGACGCACTTCAAGGACGTGCAGGACACGGAGTTCACGGTGCAGGACGGCGTGCTGTTCATGCTGCAGACGCGCAACGGCAAGCGCACGGGCCCCGCCGCTCTGAAGATCGCCGTGGACATGTGGCGCGAGAAGCTGATCACGGAGGAAGAGGCCGTGATGCTCGTGGAGCCGCGCCACCTGGACCAGCTGCTGCACCCGAGCTTCGCCAACGAGAAGGGGTACCAGAAGGACGTGCTGTGCCGAGGCCTGCCGGCGTCTCCGGGCGCGGCCGTGGGCAAGATCGTGTTCACGGCGGCCGACGCGGAGGCGTGGTTCGCGCGCGGCGAGAACGTCATGCTGGTGCGCGAGGAGACGTCGCCCGAGGACGTGGGCGGCATGCACGCGGCCGAGGGCATCCTCACGTCTCGCGGCGGCATGACGTCGCACGCTGCCGTGGTGGCCCGCGGCTGGGGCAAGCCGTGCGTGTGCGGCTGCAGCGCGCTGTCCATCGACGCCAACAGCAAGACGATGCGCGTGCACACGTCGAGCGGCGCCGAGGTGGTGCTGCGCGAGGGCGACTACATCAGCGTGAACGGCACGTCGGGCGAGGTGATCAAGGGCGAGCAGGAGCTGCAGAAGGCTGCCATGAGCGGCGACCTGGCGCAGTTCATGAAGTGGGTGGACGCGCACCGCCGCATGGAGGTGTTCACGAACGCCGACACGCCCGAGGACGCCCGCGAGGCTCGCGCCCACGGCGCGCAGGGCATCGGCCTCACGCGCACGGAGCACATGTTCTTCAGCTCCGCGCAGCGTATCGCCGCCGTGCGACGCATGATCGGCGCCGTGGAGCTGGACTCGCCGGCGCAGCAGGAGGCGCTCGACGCGCTGTGCACGTTCCAGCAGGGCGACTTCGAAGGCATCTTCCGCGCCATGGACGGCCTCCCGGTGACCATCCGTATGCTGGACCCGCCGCTGCACGAGTTCCTGCCGCACGAGGGTAGCGCGCTGGTCGAGCTGTGCGAGACGCTGTCCAAGGAGATGAAGGTGAGCAAGGCGACGGTGCAGTCGCGCCTGGCCGGCCTGAAGGAGGCGAACCCGATGATGGGTCTGCGCGGCTGCCGTCTGGGCATCGTACACCCGGGCATCACGGAGATGCAGGCCAAGGCCATCGCGGAGGCGGCCGTGAAGGTGGCCGGCGAGGGCATCTCGGTGCACCCGCACATCATGATCCCGCTGGTGGGCTCGTTCGAGGAGCTGGAGCAGCAGGTGAAGCTGGTCAAGTCGGTGGTGCAGGACGTGATCGGCAAGCGCGGCAAGTCGTTCGACTACAAGGTGGGCACGATGATCGAGGTGCCGCGCGGCGCGCTGCAGGCCGGCAAGCTGGCCGAGGTGGCCGAGTTCTTCTCGTTCGGAACGAACGACCTGACGCAGATGACGTTCGGCATCTCGCGCGACGACGCGCAGGCCAAGTTCCTGTCCTACTACGTGAAGCACGGCGTGCTGGAGAAGGACCCGTTCGAGACGCTGGACCAGGAGGGCGTGGGCGAGCTGGTGCGCCTGGCCGTGGAGCGCGGCCGCGCGACGCGCCCCAAGATCGAGCTGGGCATCTGCGGCGAGCACGGCGGCGACCCGCAGTCCATCGAGTTCTTCGAGAAGGTGGGCCTCAAGTACGTGTCGTGCTCGCCGATGCGCGTGATGATCGCCCGACTCGCGGCGGCGCAGGCGGCGCTCAAGCTCAAGAAGAGCTCGCCCGTGCCCGGCGCGTAGACAGCGACGACGACGACGATCACCACCACCACCAGTACTACTACTACGTCGGTGGCGATGAGAGCAAGTTACAAGAGAGGCCAGCTCGCGAAGCAAGCAAGTAAGCAAGTAAGTATGAGGCGCTCGTGTGCGCTTGTGCATGTGTGCATGTCCAGCAGTGTAGTTGTCGTAAAGTTGGGGCGGCCGCTATCGCTGCGCATTGTATTCAGTCTAATAAACGCGAAACATGGTTATAGGAAATGGTGGTTGCGTGTTAACGCTCGTGTGGGTAGGTCCCAAGCGACTGCGTATTCTACTGAAACGAGATGCAGGGCCATGCTTTCATCGTGCGGATAGATCAATTGCTGTTGTGATAGCTACAAGCAGAAGGCTGTAATCGTAGTATGCTGGATCAGCGTTTAGCCTGACAGGGAGACCGCCTATCGATTGTCGAGCTCCGGAAGCGTTCAACGCTGTATCCGCAAGGCTCGGCGAGTCGATCGGATCGAGTCGACCCCGTCACGCGTGCAGGATGGCCAATCCCTTTCATTACCGTTGCTGGGTAATGCAGGATACGGCCGAGCTATTCGAAACGTCAACGTGCGGTGCGTGTAAGGCCGAAGTTGCAGCGCTCGCCTTGTGGGTAGAACATGTAAATTTGGTATGATGCTCGCCACCTACGCAGGACGCTGCTTGGGATTTACTTCAAGCGCGTCTGCGTAGCGATCTTCCAGCAGAGTCTCGCAATAGAATAGCCATGACTCAAGCATCGATGATCCCAGTGCCAGCAAATGAAGCTACTGAACAGGGACGTCTGGTAGAACACATCGCTTCAAACTACAGCGCTACTGAGACTTCTGCCGACCGTCGGAAAGCTCGTTTCTAAGTTTCCCCTTTAGAAATCGATTTGTTGAAGTTCGGCCGCAGCGTGTTTTTGCGGAGCCTGTGTCGACTTAGCATAGTGCCAAGCTGGCCGCTCCGGGATCTTGAGCCGTCGCGCAGCCTCATATTCGCACCCCGGCTGTCTTGCGCAGGTCGTCGCGGCACTCTCGGCGCGAGAGAACCAAGCACCTCTGCGACGGCGTCAAGCATCGTCTCGCCTCGGTGACGCAGAAGCTGAGTCAAGGTGGCCCCGTGTCTCCGTCCTCTACGCTCAGACCTCGCGCCCAAGTGTCCGCGGCGACCTGCTGCATTGTCCTGACCCCTGCGCCACTTCATCCGGATCACGCTGGGCGGCGACAAAAGACAGCAGAGCTCCGTCTTCAGTTGGCGTCACGAACGCAGCGGCGGTGAAGATCTGCACGACGCCACGCGCTGGACGGCCTTGGCGTTCAGACTCAAGTTAACACCGTGTCCATTTCATCCGCAATCGCGTCGGCCACGCGCACCGTGCACCCTTGCGCCGCCTAGCGCTGACTCGCACTGCGTCTCTCTCCTGTGAGACCGGCGTTCTGCCTGGCCTCGACCATCAAGTCGTTGGGCAGGTGTCCGCCCACCACGCAGAATTCTTGGCACACTGGCCAATCCAGA